CCCAAAGTATAAAATTGACTCTGTCGAATTCGAGACGCTGACTCTGGGGTCTTTGCCTCCAACGCTGCAAGGTTCTTGTCTTGGATGATTGATCATTTATGAATCTGTTTTTCCTCCTTATCTCGTATATAGTTTTGAAGGGTTGTGGGCCATATGCTTATTATTTTGGGAATTGACATCCACAGTGGGTGTGTAAGGCAGTCCGGTTTCTCTTGTGAATATGTGTTCATTTCCATCTCTAAGTTCTTACAATTTTGTTCTCTTCCAGGTATGAAGGTCTATCTTACTGATGAAAAGGAATTAATCATGGAGCCATCCCTTAAATGGGCAGGGAATCCTAATATCACTGTTCTTGTTAAAGCATTTGGATTAAAAGCAACTGTCCAGGTTTTGCATTTGTCTATAAATATAGATACTTCTCTTTTTCTTCTTCTTGTTCTTCTTTTTGCTAAAATCTTGATTAAAAAATTACCCAATATGGGATATTTCAGGTTGTAGACTTTCAAATCTTTGCAGCCCCACGCATCACCCTTAAGCCTTTGGTCCCAAGCTTTCCTTGTTTCAGCAAAATAATTGTGTCACTTATGGATAAGGTATCACTTGGCTTTAATGTCTAGAAATCTACTACTCCGTAACTAGTAAAAGAGAATTCCACAAATTGAACTGGAACTCGGTATATTGTTGCTTGTCATGCCAGTATGTTCCTCATTAATATAAAATTGTGGTCATCTTTGATTCTTTGTAGGTACATGTTTGAAATTTAACAAAGCCAAAGAAATTATTATTACTGCATATGCATTTCAATATAGTTGAATATATTGAATATCATGAAGAATATCATTTGTTTCAAACACTACTACATATGTATATCCATATTGTGGGGTACTCAATAAATTTAGGGACGCAAAAAATTTAAAGTGGAAATCCCGCTATAAAATTGTTTAACTATTATGGAGGACTCAGTAATAACTAAACTCCCAACGCTTCTATGATTCCTAATACAAATTTGGGAAACTGCCATAATAACATCTAGAAACACTCATCTATTTTAACATGTGAATCTAGGCAGTTTACTCAACCATGCTATCTTCAGATGCTAAATAACTTTTTATATAAAAAATCTTCTTAACTTGCTTATTCTGTGTAAATAATGAAATTGACACACTATGTTTCTCTCTTATTTTTGAAATCAGGTTTGTTTACGTACATACTTCCACCTAGATGGTTAATTGGTGTTTTAACTGATTTTAGGAAAATGGAAAATGAAACAGGAGGGAAGATGATATAAATGCCATACCAAAAATTAACACAAATTTGTGTGAAAAAAAAAATTAACGCCAACTTTTAAATGCTTGCACAATTATATTTCTTGAGTTAACTTTGGTTCACTCGATGCCATATGCCCCGTTTGGCATTAGCATTAGAGTCTAGCTTTAGTTTTTCAAAAATGCTACTTAATGATACCTTTTAGCTTTAGCGTTTTTCCACTATCCCCTCAAGTGCCTATTTTTGGCGTTTGTAGCCACATGTTGACTTTGGATTGAAGATTCTTGGTGCTGATCTCATGTCAATTCCTGGGTTATACAGGTTTATCCAGGTATTTCACCTTCTACTTTGATCTCTCTCTCTCTCTCTCTCCCCATCCTCTCAAGCAAAGTGTCGAATTTTCAACTTATTTGTTCCATAAGCTCAAAATCCTCAAATAGAATTGTTCAGAAATGGCATATATGGATCAATGAAGGCGGTGTATTCACAGTTATGCACTATGGGTTTATGACTCAAGGCGGCTTATTTTTTTAATGAGAGATTATTGTATGCTTTTCTTGTTGTCAAGCTGTGATTTTAAAGTTTCTTTTAATCTGGTAGGATGGTGGAACCCATGCAGGGAACAATTATAGTGACTGTTTATTACCTTATTCTGATCTTTTCAAATTATAGTTTCTTGTGTATATCAATTGTTTCCTCCTTATCAACACTTTCATTTTTTGAACGAAAGAGTCTGATTCATATTACATATCATTGTGTGCTATATGTTGAAATAAAGTACATTCCATAGTGCATTGTGGCAATTTTCACTTTATGCTTACTTTCACGAGCAAAAACTAAAACGTGAAAGAGCATCCTCTGCAGGACATCATTAAAGATCAGGTGGCGAACATGTATCTGTGGCCTAAAGCTCTGGAAGTGCAAATTTTAGACCCTTCAGTGTATGTTTCTGACTTTAAATTTTTTACCAGAGCTTTATGGTTTAGTTTTGTGGATAACTAAATGTGTTTAGCAACTTATGTGATGTGTAGAGCGACAAAACGGCCTGTAGGGATTCTTCATGTGAAGATTTGTAGAGCAACAAACCTGAGAAAGAAAGATTTACTTGGAGCTTCTGATCCCTATGTCAAACTCAAACTCACAGAGTCAAAGGCCCCATCAAAGAAGACTTCTGTGAAGCACAAGAATTTAAATCCAGAGTGGAATCAGGACTTTCAAATGGTTGTTAAAGATCCAGAATCTCAAGTACTTGAGATATATGTTTATGATTGGGAACAGGTAATTTACGCACGTCAATGTTATGAGTTCTCACTTATTCACCGTGTTTGGTTTTCTGTTTGAAACTGCAAAGGGAAATAACTAATGATTTAATTCTTAAAATTGATTTACATATATTTAGATTTCTTAGTCGTTATATCGTATGAATAAATAAAATGAATTTGAAAAAACATCTAAAATAAATTTATTGAGTTTGAACTAATATTTTACGAGTGTTTCCTCTCTTTCCAATTTTCATTTCTATTTTTCTCCCTGTTCTCTTTGCCTAGTATTTCCCGAGTTCCAAACGCACCCTTGGTTTATGTTGGTGTTTCAATTCTTTTGTAAGGTTGGGAAACACGAAAAGATGGGCATGAATGCTATCCCACTCAAGGATCTAACCCCTGATGAAACCAAAACCATGACACTTGATCTCTTAAAGACAATGGATCCGAATGACGTTCAGAACAACAAGTCACGTGGGCAGATCACGATGGAACTAACATACAAGCCTCTCAAAGGGGAGGACGAGGTAAAAGATATTTCAGAGTCTGCAACTAACAAAGCTCCAGAAGGGACACCGCCAGAAGGAGGTATGCTTACAGTATTAATCCACGGAGCTGAAGATGTTGAGGGAAAGCACCAAACTAACCCATATGCACAGATCACTTTCAAAGGAGAGGAGAGAAAGACAAAGGTAAACATCCCTGATTTTTTTTTTCATGCTAAATATTTTCCTCTCTGATGTCATATGTTTTTACTGTTCCAAAAAAGTTACTCCATATTCTGTTGGTCAATCAACATTCAGATAAAATGGTAAAAATCCATTTGTATTCCGTGTAGATTAACATTTGTGCTTTCTAAACCTCTATAATTGCTTTTGCAGCAACAGAAGAAAACCAGCGATCCGAGATGGGAAGAGGAGTTTGAATTTATCTTGAAGAAGCCTCCTTTGGATGAAAAGCTGCATGTACAAGTTGTCAGTACAAGGACTTCTTTTCTGCACCATAAGGTAGTGTTTCTGAACAAAAGGAATACAATGTCTAAGTTGTAATTGACTAAAGACCTTTTAGTCCACCAGCACTCATGGAAGGCAACAAAGATTGAATGAATTCAATCTCTGCTGCCTGTGGTGGGTGGTCAAAGAACTCGGTCAAGTTTTTATACGATAATTTGACTGTACTTAGCAGTTATATGCTTCAAATGCAATCTTTGCTATGATGACAAACAATTGGTTTTATAAAATAATGAATCAGGAAACATTGGGGTACGTTGATATCAACCTCTCAGACGTGGTTCAGAATAGAAGGATCAACGAGAAGTACCATCTCATTGATTCAAAGAACGGGAAGATACAAATTGAGCTGACTTGGAATCCTACTTCTTAGTCCTTCCTCGTGAAGATGAAGATGTCATGCATCCCCTTTTCTTACTCTTGTTGTGAGCCTAGTACTTGTGCCGCTCTATATGGCACATGTTGGAGTACATTATTATCATGATGTTCTTGTTGTTTGTATCTATTTCTTTCAATTTGTTGTTTGTTCGTGTTGTTGTGCGTTCATCTCCGGGTTTATCATAGGTTATGTGTTGTTATCATAGGTTTTACAGAAGGGTTGTGCTTACTGCGTGTTTGGATTACATACATTAGAGTACATGTATAATGTTTCTTTCAAAGGATTCTGTGAAAGTAATCAGAATGAAGCCCAATCTGTTTTCACCAAGATGACTTCTGCTTTACAGATTCTTTGTTCCCTTCCAAGTGTAGTTGTTTTTTTAATGATCAAGAAGTCATTATTGTCATTCTCAATCTAATAATAACGGTTACATAGATTTTGTTTGCATCTCCTTAATGAGAGGTATTATAGCCATTCTCGATTCGTTTACTTCAACCATCCGGGATGGCGTGATGGTTTAGCTGCACCTTGTCAGGCAAGAGGATGACGGTTCGATAAATACTGTCTATGTTTTAATTAAAGTTGTTTATTTTATTAAATTCAAAATTGACGTAGAAAAAAATATAAAAATACCCGGAATATACTCTAAAACTATATCAAAATGTGTATAAAATACAGTATGAAGTGTTATGATTATTATTTTTTCAAATGAGTAATGAAAGTGAACAAAAAAATAACGGAATTTGATCATATAAATACTTAATTGGACCTTAATTTGGAGACTTGGGTACTAAATGTATTAGGGAGACTATATTATATTTGATGATCCATTTTTATTTATACCTAAGAAAACTCATGATCATATGTTAAATTCCTTTCAATATAGATTTTCATAACGTCAATTTTTTTTAGAAATCTTACTACTAGTAAAACACAATTTCTTCACAATAATGCCTTAATATGTGCAGAGGAAAATGTCTAAAAACAATTGTTTTAAGAATCCAAATTTTATTTTAAAAATCCATTGCGTGGACGAGCTCTTAACTTGTTCATAACAGAACTGGAAAATCTCAATGGGCTTTCCACGGGCCCATCCTCTACTGTCGCTTCGTGAGAAGAAGTCTCCAAAAATGGGGAGTACATTATAAAAATGGAAGACGGAGGATTTCCGTTGTTTCCCAAGTCAAAGCTCAGCGGGTTTATCCGATTTTCCGATCACTGAAAATGGCAAGGCCAATCGTCGACGCCGAGTACCTCAAGGAGATCGAGAGAGCTCGCCGGGACCTCCGCGCTTTGATCTCCAGCAAGAATTGCGCTCCTATTATGCTTCGCTTGGCGTACGCTCTTTCTCTCTGTCTCTTATTTCCTCTTTTTTTTTTGAAATTGTTATTGAAACAGAGGAAAAAAAGATGGCTAGGATGCTTAGTCGCTTTGGCGATTTCATTGCAGATGGCACGATGCTGGAACTTACGATGCTAAGATAAAGGCAGGAGGACCAAACGGTTCAATCAGAAACGAGGAGGAGTATTGCCATGCCGCCAATAATGGCTTGAAAATTGCTATAGATCTTTGCGGTAATTTTCTGAATTAAATCTTATGCTAGGGAGAGTGATTAGAGTTGGGTTTGTATGTATTTCACCCTCCTTTTTTTAGAAATTTACCAAGTAATCTCACATTTGCACTTTCTTTTACACTATGTTTGGTTCAAGGAATTTGAAATGGAAAAGAAACGAAAATGAGATGGAAAACAGTTTTTCTTATTTGGATAAAGAGGAAAAAGAAAAGAATAGTGGAAGGAAAAGAAAATGAAAAGACAAAATATACTAAGAGGGAAAATCAAATTCCTCCCATTTTGGAGAGGAAAATGAGACAAAACCATTTTCTTTTCCTTCCAAGTTCCTTGAGCCAAACATAGTGTTAATATAAAGCGAAATCAATTCAAAATTGAGCAAGCAAATGTTCCTTGTTTTTATAATCAATTTTGTTAACACTTTTTGTTGAATGCTATCTCTAGCCGCTAGGTAGAGGATTTAAGTGAAACTGTTAAGTACGGATTATGTATTATTACAATAATCATATTTTTTGAATCTACAATTATCATTTCCATTGCTCTTAAATCTAAAAAAACCATCTCATTCGACTGAAGGAAATATTTATCATGCTAATGATTATCTAAACGTTAATTTAGTTTGCTCCTAATTCCAACTTATGCCGAACTATTTGAATATTTAGAGTAGATATTTATCAGCATTTGATTCGCTGTTTTTTTATGGCAGAGACTGTAAAGTCCAAACATCCAAAGATTTCATATGCAGATTTGTACCAGGTGTGTTTATTTTTAATTTCTTACAGCAGCTCCTTTTTTAAACCCAGTAATTCAATGCATTAGGTTGCGCCATCTTCCTACTCAGTGTTTCTTATTTTTAGTATTGTTTCTAGCTTCTTTCTTTAGCATAGTTTTTCTACATTTCTAGCCAGATTTAAAATTATATTGCATCCACACATCACTTTCCTTAAATTTCATTGGCCTGCATTTGTTTGACCATCCACTCAATTATTTTAAATTGAACTATGTCATTCTAAATTGCATTGCGGATCATAGCTTGCTGGTTATGTTGCTGTTGAGGTCACTGGTGGTCCATCCATAGAATTTGTTCCTGGCAGGAAGGTATGTAAGTTTGTTTAATCCCAAATATAGATTGAAGTAATGCTATGTTATGGCTGTATGCCCATATCATTTCCTTAGATCTAATTCGTTAATGCCCATGAATTATAGGACTCCAAGGTCTCTCCGAAGGAAGGACGTCTTCCAGATGCCAAGAAAGGTTTTCCCAAAGAAATTCTTACTAATTTACCATTTCTCAAAATAATCACACAGTATTTCTTTGGAATTTGGAGNGGTATGGAATCACTGAATCCTGGTTATATCTGTCTCTTCCAAGCTGTAATGCCCATGGAGAAATATGATCCTATCATGGTTTCTCTTACAAGTATTGACTGTTTATTAGTTAATTCAACATGTGCATTTATTATCCATTTCTTTGTCAATTGAAAAAACAAATGGTCAGGAGAGATGCAAAAGAAAAGTGGATTCTTCTTTGATTTATAATTTTGTTACTTCTTTTCAGTGGTGGCCTAATATCACTATGTTGAAGATGACAGTTCACCAATTGGATTTTTTATTTCAATTCTCAGGAAAATGCGAAACAGAAAATGTATATGTGGTTTGTTGCTTGACATTTGAATTGTTTCATTTTTTCATTCTTTTGAATTTGTGAAGTGTTATCCAAAAATGGAAATTTGCAAAGCACAGTGGCTGGCATGTCACTGCTGACTGCCAACAGACAGTTGTGGCCATCACCTGGCTGCCCACCATAACTGTTTCCCACCACAATCTACATATTGATTGCTAAACATATCTGCGTTTACCCCCTGCTACCATAGCCAATGTGGAGGTTGCCGGCGGCGAGGAAAGAGTAACTTTGTGTTATTGTTCATGTTTTTTGTTGGTTAGGAAAACAAACTTATGAAAGTAATGATTGGTAAATGTATTTGGAGAGATGAAAAACTAAAGAATAAAAATGAAATTGAAAAACATGGTTATATTTTCTTGTTTTTTGTATAGTTTTTTTGGTACAGCGGAAGAACTTTAGTTGAAGAGTACGATGTATCAACATTCTTCTTGAACAATCACTTTTTTCTTTATATTGCAATAGGTGCACCACATCTGAGGGAGGTCTTTTATCGCATGGGTTTATCTGATAGAGATATTGTAGCTTTATCGGGAGGTCACACTCTGGTATTTGCGTTCCCCTTTCTCGGTTTATACTTGGCACATTAAATGTCCTTTCCTCTTTGATTTCCAAAAAACTTCATTGTGCATAAATAAGATGTTTGTTTCCAAATGAAAAACATGCAGGGAAGGGCCCATCCAGAGAGATCAGGATTTGACGGTCCATGGACAAAGGAGCCCCTAAAATTCGACAATTCTTACTTTGTGTAAGACTTGGCAGGAATTAATTATTGTTTACAGATTGTAGTTTATATAATACTCGTGTACAAATTGTAGTATATACGAGTATAATACATAGCAAGATTTGACAGAGATCATACTTTTACTCAATCAATTCATACCATAACATGTATCATCATAAAACAAATCAATCATGCACGTCATATACATAAATATGAAGTACATAATTACCTAGCAACAGATATTATGGGACATCATTTCATGTCTCGCAGTTAAGTGCACATAATTTGTGCACATTATTCATGCATACAGATTGTTGTTGTGCTTCTTCTGTTTTTTCTCCTGTTGACTATGGTCATCTAAATGTTTCAATATCAGGGAGCTGCTTCAGGGTGAAACTGAGGGCCTGTTAAAACTGCCCACTGATAAGGCTTTGCTCGATGATCCTGAGTTTCGGCATTACGTTGAGCTTTACGCTAAGGTAACCCACCCACCCCCACCCCCACCCCAAATGGACCTTTGTTTGCTAGTCTTATACTCATTTTATTCAATTTCATTGCTGCCTGGAATGGACAACCACATGATAAAGTAATTTTGGAAAAGCCATAAAGGGAAAGATGGTTCTCATATGTGTTTCTGTAATGCTCAAATGTTTAAATTCATGAAATTTCTGGTATCTGTTTAAAGAAATGAAAAGTATGAAATGTGATTCTCTTGCACCATATCAAGCTGGAAGCATGATGGAACTTTTGCTGCAGGATGAAGAAGCTTTCTTTGAAGATTATGCAGCATCTCACAAGAAACTCTCCGAGCTTGGATTTAATCCATCTGGTTCCAAGACGGTGAAGGACGGCCCCATATTGGTGCAGGGTGCTTTTGGTGTTACCGTGGTTGCTTTAGTTGTGGCATTGGGCTACTGGTATGAAAACCGAAGGCTTTTAAAGTCAATAAGGTAGACGACGAAGAAAGGAAGTGCTCTCTGGTTTGGCTACATTTATGTCTCGAGTTTTTAAGAGCAAGACTCACATCTTAAAATTTCATAAAATAACACCTTGCTCCTCTAGATGTGGACTATTCCTAAGCAATCACCGCTAGTCTGTACTGTAAAACACCATTATACGGTATAAGAATGCATGGTAATGCATTTTGTTGGAAGAATTGTTATGAAAATAATTGTCTCTTTTATGCATTTTATTCTATTAAGAAAATCTAAACAAAGCTCAATTGCAAGTGTGCTACTGTGCAAGCGCATTGCAACGCAAGGTTTTCCTCATATATAAGGAGCACTGGAAATTTAACATTGTTTTCACTTTCATTCATTCACTCGACGTATAATATAAGAAGACAACGCCCTATATATAAAGGAGGATCGGGAAAACATGTGAAATTACAAATAAAAGGCAAGAACTAAACAGATAAACCAAGAAGTAAAAGGTAAAGCCTGTAAAAGGGTGGAGTCGCAAAACAACTGAAATCCCAGATCCTGGAAAATAATTGCTTCTTCTCAGATAGGAGTTCTACTCTCCATTTCACCCAGCCCCTATAAAAGGTGTAATAGCACAAGGTCAAGCTACATTTGAGTCTGCTGCATCACTTTGTTTCTTTCTTTCTTTCTGATCAGAGCTGTTCAGTTAATCCAAAGGCTCTCTAAGTCTACAATGGCGCAAGTTGGGTCACGGTTATGGGGCTCCGAACCACATGCTTCCCGTCGGTCCAAGATAGCGACCCAAAAAGAGCGCCCGAGTCGTCATCGAACATCCCTTCCTTGCCGCTCAGCCTGACGGTCACATAGTACTTCAATTTCCTCGCCTTCTCCGAGAACACCAGTTTCTGTGGCATCACTGTCACGCTCACTCCCTTTGGAGCCTCAACCTTGGCGGTATACACCGCATTTGTCTGCCCCACGTTCGTCACTGTCCTGGAGAATGTCTTGCTCGTGCTCCCTCTAGCCGAGGTCGAAAACAGCGCTGCAATGGAGGGATAGTTCAGATCCTCGGGCAATGGCTTTCTTCTAGACGGGCAACTCACGGGCGTTCTCGTGATCACCTGAATTGTCTTGGGAGAATAATCAATTGCACACAGGAAGGAAATGTAGTCTTCGTTGGTCAGATCATAGACGAGTCCAGGGTCCATTGCCAGACCCAGATTCACATGCCCTGCACCGAAATCGTACGGAGTGGCTTTTCCACCGGTGGACTCCTCCGTCATCATGGACTGCTGCTTGTTATCAACAATGCTGGCGGTGGTCATCATGGCTGATCTTATTGCTGCCGGCGTCCAATCGGGGTGGGCAGATTTAAGCAAGGCAGCTGCACCGCTGATGTGAGGACAAGCCATGGAAGTACCAGACAAGATACTGAATTCGGTTTTCCGGGTGTCCAAATCTAACCCAGTCGGGCCGACCGCGTCCGTCCAGGCAGCCAAGATGTTCACTCCGGGGGCGATCAAGTCTGGTTTCAGTATCTCAGGGTTGAGTCCATTGGGGCCTCTAGCGGAGAAGGAAGCCACGACCGGTGCTGGTTTCACTCCAAGCACAGTCCCGTAGAAGTTGATGGTTGCAGTGGCGTTTGGATTGGAAGCTAAGAAGGATTTGATGGCGTCCCCTTCGCGTGATCCGACCGAGCAAGCAGGTAAGAGGTGAGGATCCCCAACAAGGCCCTCGCCGTTGGAGGCGCCGTTGGCAAGTATCATCCCAACTCCTCCAGCTTTCTTCACCACCAATCCCTTCGCCACCCGCGGATTGCTCCCCCGATCACATATTACAATCTTGCCACTGACTTCCTTGGGGTCAAGTGAATTCTCCATACACAGTGAAGCAGAGAGCATCCCAGATTTGCCGGGGAATACCAAGGGATACATTTTGTCCTTCAATGGAGACCCCGCGTACAGTGATACCCCAGAGAACTTCCTTCCGTCGCTCAGGATTACTTCCGCCGGGAATTTCCGGTCGATCGTGCCGGCTCCCACCGTCAGCAACCACGGAGCAACGTTAGTGACGGACATGAGGTTAGGTCCGTCGTTGCCGGCGGATGCAGCCACAAGCACACCTCTCGAAACGGCGCCGTATGCTCCTATGGCGATAGGATCCAGGTAATAGGGCGACGAGACGCCCTCGCCTCCACCAATCGAGATCGAAATAACATCCACACCGTCCGCAACCGCCGCGTTGAAAGCGGCGAGGATGTCGGAGTCCATACAACCGCCGTTCTTCCAGCACACTTTGTAGATAGCCAATCGAGCTTTGGGGGCAACACCTTTAGCGATTCCAGAAGCGTAACCCGACATACTAGCTTGGAAAGCGTGCCTTCCGGCGGCCGTCGACGCCGTGTGAGTGCCGTGACCATCCGCATCTCGAGGGGACCGGAACTCAACCGTATCGTTGATACCGCCGCCGAATGCTCTCGCCTCATGGCCTTTCGAGAAAAATCGAGCTCCAACGATTTTCCTATTACAATTACGAGCGGTGAACTTCACACCTGCTTCGCAAACCCCCTTCCAACGGGCAGGAACAGGACCGAGATTCAGATCGGAGAAGCTTCTCCTCTCCGGCCAAACTCCGGTATCGAAAACCCCAATTATAACATCGGAGCCGTAATCAGATTCGGACCAGAGACCGCGCTGGTTGCTGAGCCCTAGAAATTGAGGCGATCTAGTGGTGTGAAGCTGCCTCCGGCGGTCCTCGAAAGACGCGAGGACGGATGGGTGCCGGAGAACCGAAGCGGCCTGCGACGGAGTGAGGGAGGCAGAGAAACCATGAAAAACGGTGTCATAAACGTGAAGGATGTGAGCTGGCTCGGCAAATTCGGAAGAGTACCAGTGGTAATGGGTAGGGAAAATCGCCGGCTTCGTGTGGCTGTCGACTCGAAAGATATACGTTTTAGCCGGCTGATCAGCCGACGCAGCGGCGAATTCAGCCGGAACTGTGAGAACGAAGACGACGAGACTGAGGAAGAAGAAAGAGCGAGAGAATGTCGCCATGGAGAGAGGGTAGAGAGAGAGAGAGTTAATTGAGATTTGAGTGGGGGCATTACCGACAAGGGAGCGGTGTTTATAGGGACATAATTACTTTTAAATGCTAAACAGCCGATCAAAAAAATGAATTAATAACGGTACAGTACTCCGTGTTAATTAAAGTATAGAGATCTGATATGATTCTGTCGTTGTAAGTAAAGGCGGAGCCAGTTGATGATTGACGAGCCGGCCCACATTTTACGGGGACATTGGCCTTATCCGGCAAGGAGGAGCCCCATGGCTTAGACACCCGTAAATTGGATAAGAAAAGAAAATTAAACTTCGGCTTCTGTGGTCACTGGAATTCAGTTGTCATAGAATCGGGCTCGATTAACAAACATACACTCCTAAGTAAAACCAAATATGTTAATATATAATCTCATAAATACAATGAAATGCCAAAAATAATATGATTTGCTAACTATAATGTCACGTTTGTATCACATGACACATTTAAAAGAACGCAAAAAGTTATGAAAATAAATTCACGAATACATATATAGTCGACCTTTTTCTAAATCACCTTTTCTCAGATTAAAAAATCAAACAATAATTATAGAAGTTGAGGCACTCAAAAAAATATTATAGTATGGTGATGTTTATGAATATATTCAGCGCCAATGTCCACTGGTCATTGTTCAAGTAAATTGTCAAGCGCCACTGGACATTGTTCAAAGTAAATATCTACTGGATATATAGCTTATACTCCCTCCGTTCCAAGGGTATTTACCCATCACATCAAGGGTATTTTGGAAAGTCAATACAAAATTATCTCTCTCTTAATTTCAACTTTAGTCAAAACGTGTAAATCTTTTTGGGACGGAGGGAGTACTATTTAATGAAAAATTTCACTTTTGCAAATAATTTGGTCAAAACGGAGAAACAAAAAAATTAACTTAAATATAAATAGATAAGGCTTATTTATTTTATATGACTTATAAGCATTTAATAAGCATAGAAAAACATGTCATGAGTTGAATTAGGAATTAAAAATTGTAAATAGTTCTGATCAGCTTATAAACACAGAAAAGTACTCACTTTAATTTACTATTTTTTCACCTTGATACTTCGTATTGTTTTTAGGTACTCCATATTTATATTTTGCAATTCTTTTTTGATAAAGGGAAAATAATATCAAACAATCCCACATTTTCACGTTTTTTAAAATAATCTCACTTTTCACTGTGACCACTCACCAGAAATAATCTCACTTTTCGCATAGGTCCGAGCTTTGGATCTCCGTTAAATAGCTAACAGTCACTTGATAGAATTTTTTAAAAATACATGTTTTTCACAAATAAATGAAAGATGAGATCAGGTAAATTCATAAATTTATATTTAAATGTATTTTTTAAAAATATTTTTATATATAACACCAAATTTAAGTGCTTTTTATAGTGAAACTAATAATTTTTTTTAATAATCGATAATATGGTAATAATTGAACAATAAATTACTATACGCAATGGAGCTAATTTATTTACTTCATAACTCACTACATATTTTTATAAATTGCAATTATTTTTTTGAGCATCACTTCAAACTGTTTTTTGATACTATACTATTATTATTTTTTAAAAATGTCACTACAAAACTTGTGAATATTTTTTTATAGTTTTATATAAATGTTTTTTGCAAAACAACATTACAATAATTGTGAAAATAACACAATAAATTTTTATAACGCATTAAATTTTTGTTGTACTGCAATTTTTTTATGAACAACACTCCGAAATGTTTATTGATAATCTTCTATTGCATGTTTTTTAAAAATAGAACTACCTAATTTGTGATTTTTTTAATTCAGTACAATTTTTTCTTCAAAATAATAATTCAAATATTGTGAAAATGGCATAACCCATTTTTCTCTAAAATGGGGCTAATTAATTTTATAACTCACTACAATTTTTTTGTATTGCAATTTCTTTCTCAAGCGATACTCCAGTTTATTTTTCGATAATCCAATATCGTACTTTTCTAGAACAGAAAACAAAATTATTAAATCGTTATATTTTTTTAAAAAAAAATTAGACAAATGTCTAACAAAAGTGTACTATTATATTTTTAAAAACATAAATTTAAAATTAAAAATTAAAAAAATAAAAAAGTAAATTTTCCTAAATTAATCACTTCTTTTATTTATTTGTGAAATACATGTATTTTATAAAAAATTCTGTTAAGTGGCCGTTAGCTTTTTAACAGCGACCCAAAACTCGCATACATGCGGAAATGTGAGATTATTTCCGATGACAGAGAAAAGTGAGATTATTTTTTAAAAATGTAATAATAAGAGATTATTTTAGATAATTTTTCGTTTGCTAAATGAGAGAGTGAGTTTTGAATGAAAACCAACCAAGACATGCTTTTGTTGTGGAGTGCTTATATGGCGCACCTTGGGTGCATACCTTTTTTGTAGATCTTCTCAAATAATTTTTTAAATTTTTTTATTTAAAAAATAAATATTTATCTAAGTAGTATAGAAATGTTTGTTTTGCTCATATGTAGGTCTATAATAGATCTTAAGTCCACCATAGAATTTGTCTTTGTTGTGAGTCGTGGTGGGTTTAAATGGCCGTTTTCGTGTTGCGCCCATGCAATTGACATCGCTCTGGCTAGTCGCTAATTGTCATTAATTTCTTGAAACAAAAATGATAGGGGTACACCAAAATGTGTATCGATCATAAGTGTACTCCAAAACATCTCCACCACACAACTAAATGTTGATGTAAAAAATTTAAAAAATAAATAATACTCCCTCTGTCCCAAAATATTTACCACACTTGCTTTTTCAGCAGTCGCAAGAACTTTTGTTTATTTCTACGTTTTCATTAATTATTTGATAAAATAAAATATTCTTGACACCTCTTATGTCGAAGAACTTTTTATGTCTTTTTATGTAGTTTTTTTATATTTAATTTTTATACCAATATGTAAATAAAATAAATTGAAAAAAATTTGATATTTACCCCGAGAATACAAGTGTAACAAATATTTAGCGACGAAGGGAGTATCTGATTAGAATGAATACTGTACAAATTATGCTCTCAAGTCTCATCAATCACGCGTAACGTGAGTATTATTTTTATCTACATTTTGAATGGTTTAAGAGTATCTCCAATGTTTAATCCTAAATAAGAGTCCCATTTATGAATTTAATATTACATGTAAGGTTATAAAAAAAATGAAAAAAAAGAGTGAAGAATTTGAGTTTAGAAGGTCTCAATTTGAAGGAACCATTCTCATTTTATTGTTTGGAAGAATAATCTCAAATAATCTCGCCTTTTTATGTTTTTTATAAAAATAATTTCATTATTCGTTGTCACGGAAAATAAACTTACCTTTTCTCATATGTGCAAGTTTTAGGTCACCATTAGATTGATAGCAGTTACTTAACGAGACTTTTAGAATTTGCTTGTTTTTTTGTAAATAAATGAAAGGTTTGATTATTTTAATTTAATTCTATTTTTTCATTTTTTTAATTATTAATTTTATTTTTTTAAAAAAATATTTTTATAAATAGTACCAAATTTAAGTCTTTTTCAGAGTGACACTAATTATGTTTCTCAATATTCTTTAATATGGTAATAATTATTTTTCCAAAATAATATTATAAAATTGTGAAACTACACAATAAATTATTGTACAAAATGGAACTAATTCGTCATTAAAGAATAATTAGTGTCACTCTAGGAAAAAGCATTAAATTTTGTATTATTTATTAAAACTTTTTGAAAAAATACATTTAAATTCAAAATTTAAAATAAAAAAGAAAAAAGAGAATATGGTAATAATTAATTTCTCCAAAATAATACGTAGTATTACAAAAGTTGTGAAATTGCACAATAACTATACAAAATGGAACTAATTTATTTACTTCATAGCTCATTACTTTTTTTCTAAGTTCCAATTGTTTTCTTGAGAGACACTTCGAATTGTTTTCTGATAATATACTATTAATATTTTTTAAAAAAAAAGGGCACTACAAAAGTTGTGAATACTTTTCGATAATTCACTATAATATTTTTGCAAAATAACACTACAATAGTTATAAAAATGTCCTAGTACTATTATTTTTATAACTTACTTTTTTTTGTATTGCAATTTTTTTTCATTAACAACACTCTGAAATGTTTATCGATAATCATGTATATCCCGTATTATTTTTTCCAAAATGGCACTATAAAATTTGTGATTTTTTATAATTCAGTACAAATTCTTTTCTGCAAAATAACAATTCAAAAGTTGTGAAAATGGCACAACAATTTTTTTGTCAAAAATGAGACACTCACTAAAACTTTTTTGTATTGCAATTTCTTTCTAGAGCAATACTTTAAATTATTTTTCGATAATCCACTATTATATTTCTTCCAAAATAGAATACAAAATTTGTAAATGGAGACAAATCTCTAACAAGAATGTATTTGTTATATTTTTGAAACATAAATTTAAAATTAAACATTAAAAAACAAAAAAAGTAAATTAATCTAAAATAATCTCACTTTCATTTATTTGTGAAAAAATGCATTTTGAAAAAAAATTCGTTAAGTGATCGTTAGCTTCTTAACGGCTATCCAAAATGCGTACCCATGCAGAAATGTGAGATTATTCCTCGTAACAGTGAAAAGTGAGATTATTTTTAGAAAAACGTGAAAATGTGAGACTATTTAACATAATTTTTTCCTTATTATTTACATCTAGTGGTATGTGACTACACAAAAATCCTACTTACATATCAACGAAGAGAAAAGATGAAATAAACTTGTATTGGACTTGCTCTAACATTTAAGCATATCTAAAAAGTTAACATGTTTGTGATGAATCAATTGATCCGTGGGAGGAGGATGCCAAATGCCAATACATTTTTTTAAAGAGATTTTACCAAAATAACATTCATTGACATTAAATACTAATTAAGGAGACATATTTAGATTAAATGGATAAATCATTCATGACACATGAAAATTTACTCTTTTTTTGCCTTTATCCTTAGATAATATTTTCACAGTGTCCATGGTTAGAATCTACTCCATTCGTCCTTAAAACACATGAGAGATTTTTGTTTAAGAAATTTAAGAGTGTATATTGGTGTTGAGTTTTTAGAAATGCCTTTGGATGTAATGAATAAAAGTAAGATTTTATGAGTAAATTAATAGTAAATAGATATTGATGGGTATATCCTTATACCCGACCCGGACAACCGAAAGGGACAGGTCGATATATGACCGGTTACTTTTATCAATCACCAAATGAGGTTAACTCTTCGATTGGGACGAGTCAAAAGTTGACCGGTCACTTCTTCTAAAAAAAGTGACCGGTCACATTTTGGGCGATAGCCAAAATGTCGCATAATGTTACAAAAGACATTCTAGAAGACCAGAGACGGGTTGAGCGCAAAGAATGACCGGGTAACCTTTGAGAGAAGATGACCGGTCATGTCACTTTACTTTGCAAACATTGGTCCAGTACTTCAGGCACGGTGAACCACGTCAAAGATCGAGGGACCACCCCGCCGTTCATCCATCACGAGGCAAACATTGAAAGGAATGTTTGTCATTTTGCAGGGTTGATTAGATTGAGAATATTCATTTATAGTCTTTGATTGAACAGTACATGTCTTGACTTATAGTTGCTAAATTCATTGGTTGAATAGTAGATTGATTATGTACAGTGACCTTCCTCCGGGTTTCCTATTTTGTCCATGGATGAACAGGGGAAGGTCACAAATCTTCCTCTATAAATATGATGATATTGGATAGAGGAGGGGATCCATTCTTTATCTCACTAAAAGAGTACACTCTTGAGACAAAGTAAGAAATATAATTCGGACTGAGGAGATTTACCCGGTTTAGGTCATACTTTGTGTTCTTGTTGTGTATTTTATATTACGGGTCGAGTGTGTCCAGGTCAAACCCGGTTAACCCACCCAGCTATATTTACACCATCAGATATGATATAATAGGTAAATTAATAATTAGTAAGAATAAAAATGATTTTTTAATAAAAGTAAGAAAAAAAATTTAGGCGCAAGAAAAAAAAAGTGAAAAAGTTTGAGAGAGGGAAGGGAGACATTTGGGAATTGGGTACACCAAACAATATAATCCATAGCGATCCAAAAGACGGGTTCAGTCGGACGGGTTAGTTCTTTTGATCTTCTCTACAGAAACGGGACGGAAACATTTCCCTTGACTGGCGGCGGCGACAACTCGACCGGTCGATCTTGCGGCAGTGCAACTACATTTTACCATCCAGGTGTGGATGCTTCTTCTCTTTTCGAGTAATCGAATGTTTTATCATTTCGAATTTTTCAGTTTCTTGTTTGAATAGATTGATTTTGTTTGGTGATGGTTGATTATCCCATAAATAGCAAACAAACCCAGTTTTGGGATTTCTTTTAAACACTTAAGAAGGCTATTCCTTCATTCTACTACTCATATAACCGCCACCCCTTAGCACTACTTTCACATTCAAAGCAAAGTCCAGATGGTTCCTACTCAGCTCAGTATGGATAGATCAACAAGCTTACTGCACAATTTGATGTGTCTAGAAAAACATTGAGTAGCATATGGGCCATTGCAAAGAAACAATTAGAGTATGGTATTGCCATTGACGTAAGAAGTAAAATGCCAAGAAATAGTGGCAGAAAAAGGGCAGTACGGATGTAAAGGCTATAGCAGACACTCTCCTCAGGAAGAGGACTACTGTAAGATCATTAGCAGCTGCCATTGATAAGCCTAAGTCAACTGTGCTTGAGTGGATTAAAAGAGGTATGCTTAGGAGCCATTCTAATGCTGTTAAACCATACCTATCAGATGCATATAAATTTTCGAGGTTGAGGTTCTGTTTAGATCAGGTAGAACCCTATACCATGCCTATCCACCCTAGGTTTAAGAGTTTTCACAATGTTTTACATATTGATGAGAAGTGGTTCTCTATGTCCAAAACATCTCAAAGATTTTACCTTCTTCCTCATGAAGTAGACCCATATAGGGCTTGTAAATCAAAAAGGTTCATAGCTAAAGTGATGTTTCTGTGTGTGGTTGGGAGACCATTATTTGGGTATAATGGAGAACTGTTATGGGATGACAAAGTTGGCATTTTTCATTTCACAAGAAAATTGAAAGCCAAAAGGAAGAGCAAGAAAAAGGCAAAAGGGGTGTTAGAGGTTAAACCAATAACTAGTGTTTCCAAACAAGTCACAAAAGATATGCTCATCAATAAAGTCATTCTAGCCATCTAGGAAAAATGGCCAACTGAATTATCAAAACACAATTCAGCAAGATAATGCAAGGCCACACATTCAAGGAGTGGACTTTGACTTTATGGCAGGAGATAACAGTAATGGGTTTCAGGGTTTCACATAACTCTAAACAATCAACCCCCAGCTCCCCAGACTTAAATGTGCTGATCAGTCCAGTCCTTAAAGGATCACTGTGCTCCTAGTACTGTGGTAGAGCCATCCAAGTACTCCTAGTACCGGAGTAAATGTTTTCACTGATTTATTAGCTTCTTTTTTCATTTTAATGGTTGATTAAGTTGTTTTTTATCAATGAAAACAAAAATGTTTATTATAAATTTCAAATAAATAAAAATAGTGTTCCCCCCCCCTTAAAATACAATAGTGTTTTTCATTTTAATTAAAAAATATTAACTTAAGATGAACTGAAGTAAAATTAATTTGAAAGGACTCCCATCCTCAATATTTATATTTTATTTATTCCATGTTTATTAATTTATTTATTTTATTACTCTTTATTTCATACTCCCTCTGTCCCAAAATGTTTGTCACATTACGCAAAACGAAGCAAAATTTAAGTTTTTTCGATTCATTCTATTTAAAGATTGGTATATATAAATAAAAACAATAATTTACATATTTAAAAACCACATCAAAAGTTCTTTAAAATAAGAGATGACAAAATTTTTGGGACGGATGGAGGATAACTTTTCAAAAAACTAATTGGAGTTATGGTTCCTAGAAAATGGATATTGAGTCATGAAAAACACAAGAAGAAAAGAAGACTTGAAGAGCTTACTTAATCTAAAAAGGAGTTGCCAAACTGGTTGGATGAACAAAAGAGACCCTTAAGGGAATGCCATTGGTGATTCAATGCGATGGATTTACAAAAACGTTTAGGTGAAATGTTCATGAAGGAAAGAATTGATATAGTTAAAGGCTTTTGTTATTAAAAGGAAAGGTTGAAAGGACATTGAGAAATGAATTGTGAAATGAAAGACATCGTGTCGAATTACCAACTGGTCAAGTGTGTGAGTGAGTTTAATACTGATCTCAAGGTTTAGTGCAAGTAATGATGTTTGCAAACGTTACGGTTTAGGTAAGAGCTGGTAAGTGATGAGCTAGCGGTCAAGTTCAAGGAATGACTGGAAGGTTAACTTTGGTAAGCAGTGCTAATGTGAGTTCTTTGACTCTTTGCCCCTTTTAAATGTTTTGGGCTGGAATATACGCTAGTGGTAAAGATTTGGAAAGCATGCAGTAGTTATTTACTTATGTTGAATATATACATGCATGAATAGTTTTTTAACATGCCTTTTAATTGCTGCCTATATGTGTATTCACATCTATGTTATGTTTTGGCTTTTGGACATGAGTGCTTTGACCTGTGCCCTGTGTATATGTCAATGTGTTCCAACTAAAAGTTTGGTTGCTGCGGTGACCTAGGTAAACATGTTATAGATAGGACTTGTAATGACATGATTTTTGAATTCATTACAGATGTATTTGATCACTTTTTNTGTTATTGTTTTAGGTACTGTGTGTGTGTCTCATAGTTAGGTGACATTACAAAGTGAAGAGAATGACATTTGCATAATTGCTTATGTTTTTAGGTGATAGACTTTGAGGTTGAATAGATGGGGAGTAAAAGTATGTGTTGCACTTGTTTAATTACCTGGCTTCAAGATCAGTTTAGTTGTTCACTATAAATTCCACATCAAACCTAAATCAAGAGCAAATCTGATCTATTGTAGGATAACATACATGGAATCACTACTCTTCAACAGGCACAAATGAACATTGGTTTTGTTTATTAGTGGTGCCTCTATAGGAAGCTTTGAATGTATATACAATTCATACAAAATGATCTTTGTATTTTAAACTACAACGTTGCTTTGTTGCTTAAGGACACGCTTTTCAATTTCAAACTTGTTAGAGAAACTGGAAACAAGCAATCCTAGAAGATATTGAGCCTTTTTTAATTGTATCCCCAACTTTTACTGTAATTTGTTAGGAATACACTCAAGAATTTCTTAGCTCGTACCGCTTAATTATTATTATGCAATTATGTGTATTGATTTTTTTTTTCTTTTCTTTTTGTGTCCAGATCAGAACACTTGTTTTTTATATAGCTAAGGGTATTCAAGTTCTAAATATAAAAATATAGTCTTTGGCTAAAATCAAGGCAAAGAGAACATGGTTAGGCTTTAAATAAAGCTAAGGGAGTTGTCACCCCTTTGAATTGTTTCTTTAAAGTGATTACTGGTAATTGCTTCTATTGTTTCCCTCTGGAAATTACCGGGTTGTTGTTTGCTAAAATTCTCTGAAAACGTTTTCTTGTGGGTATTGCTATCCTTTGATAGGTAAATTTTCAATCTGGAAGAGTTATTTTTTAGGAATATAATATACTGTTAATTATGTATTCCTGATAGACAACAAAACATTTATGCTTAATATATAAAGAGTTGTTTGTTCTTTAACAAATTCCATACAAGTATTAATATAAAGCTTAATGTCGAAATATCCTGGTTTTTTAAAACTTACCTACTAACAGGAAAACCAAAGAAGTACAAAAAATGCAGCCTGGTGACCTGCAGCAACAGTCACTGGGATATCAGCAGGCGGAGGAGGAGCAGCTGCCGGAGATGATGCAACATGAAGAGCATCAACAAGAGTACGTGCACGGCGGGGAATCAAGGTAAACCCACCATTATTGTTTCCAAAAGTAGAGCAAAAATGTTGTTTGTGTTTTTTGAGCTGTCTTCTATCTTCAATCCTACATGTTTTAAAGCTAACATTCTGTGTTCTATCCTCAATCTCTACTTTTATGGAATAGTCAACTAATTCTACCTTTGAGCGATCTTCCAAAAAAAATCTCACTTTTTACCGTAATCTGTTACGGAGTATATATCAACCATTAATAATGCGTGTGAGTTTTGGATCGCCGTTAGGATCCTAACGGTTACCTAGCAATTTTGAATGATAAATGCTTATTTTGCACAAACAAATTATATGTGGGATTATATCAAGTAAATTCTCTCCTTTTTTTTATTTTATTTTTTAATATTTTAAAGTTTGGTATAAGCGTTTTAAAAATAGGAAAATATACCCTTAGAAACTTTTGAATTGTCAAAGAGACTGTAGTACCATTTTGGGAAAAAAGAATAATGGTGCCATTTTTACCACTATAATGTCATTTCGAGAAAAAAATATAGGACAATGGTGCTACAATTTCAAACTTTTCTTTTAATTTTGTTTTGTAGTTTCTAGTTTAATTTTTGAGTAAATTCTATAAATGTCTATTAAAACAAGAGATTTTTCATATTTAGTTTTCTATTATGAAAAAATATTACTTTTTTGGTCATTCGTTAATGAATACTTTTTCATAAATAGTCTTTTGTTTGATCTTCCGTCATTTTACTATTAATTTGAGGCTAAAAGTATAATTTCATACAAAATATAGGTCCGATCATGTATTCGGGTGTCGTTTTACGAACAACGAAATTAACAATAATGACTACAAACTAAGAGTCTAACCAACGATAGGTGTACTATATATGGTTGCGGTGGGGAGCGACTCCAATGGACAAATGACACAAACATTGACCTCGGGCAATGGCTATGACAAGGACTTAAGACTCATGTTTGTGTATGTTAAATTCATGTTGGTGTTAAACTGAGTTCTTCAGTTCAACACTTTGATCATCTATATCTTTATTTATTGATAAATATTTATTATAAAATATTTTATTTTAAAATTATGTTATGTTTCAAAATGGAATCATTGTAGAGTAGCCCTCTGTTCCAAATTTTCCGTTTGCTTTTTCACGTAGTTTAATAAAATTGAATCATTTGGTTGACATTATGAGAAGAGAAAATCGATATTGACCACTTGTTTAATTCTTTTAAGATTGGGTAATCCTATCGTTTTAGAGTTGTTATAATCCCATGGTTCACACCATTTCGATTAGACCATACAAGAGGGTGTATTCAATTAGAATTTCATAGGATTTTTTTTAGATTTTAAAGAGTTAGTAGATTTGAAAAAATTGTAGACAATTTGATGCGGCAGAGACAATTACTACTTTGTCCCGAGAAACATTTTCTATTTTGATTTTTTTGATCAAAGAGTGACATTTTTTTATTACAAATTAAACATAATTTGAATTAATAAATGTTACAAAAGTTGATATATCAAAATTATATGTTAAGATAAATTTAATTATATTGAATATATATAAGAATTAAATATGTCTTTTTAAATAATTTGTGGCAAAAAATGTCATTATTTTACTAAAAAATTAAAACAAGAAAGATTTTTTGGGATAGATATAGTATTACTCTCTATTTGTGTAGTCTGAACAAATTTAAGCATGAGGTCACAATAACACAAAAAATCTAGGGTTATATATGTTTATTTCTCTTTTAAGGAACAAAGTTTATTTTAAGACAAATCAAAAAGAAAATTGGGACAATTAATTTAGAAAAGGAGTAAGTTATTTCAAATACTCGTAGTTGGAATTGCTATTTGCTAGCCCCGTTAATCAATTAACAGTTACTATACGTTGGTCACAAGGCTAAATTTCACTGTTAGTTTTTCAACATAATCTATTATGTAGAATCAGTCTTTTAATTTTTAAAAATCCATGATAAGTCATTTAGGTCACGATAGCATTGCATAACTAGTCATTCCATTAAAAATACATGTGAGGATCCCTTTTAAAAAAAATTAAAATATTTTTCATGTATTTCTTTTTTAAATATTATGAAATCACTCTTACTTTTATTAGTCTGTTTTTTTAATATTAATAAGTTACATATGCTTTTATTGGTCGAGTTTGTTTTAAATATTCACTCTGTCCTAAAATGTGTCAAAATTTTGGTTTTTCATAAAAGTAGAGAGTATTTTTCTCCAATATAATTTTATTGGAATTATACACCAACAACGATTAACCCCGGTACCAAAGTGATTGTCAATTTTTAATTTTTTACAATCAATTATGGTTAATCTTTGATGTATAATTTCAATTAAATTTGTATTGAGAAAAATTAGTGCGTAATACTCACTATGTTTTCTTATGAAAACTCAGAATATGACCCATATGTACTTAAGGACGGAAAGAGTATTTAAAAAAAGTAGACCAATAAAAGCAAGAGTAACTTGTTACTCCATCCGTCCCTAAATAAATTTCCCTTTTTGACTTTTTGAGGATTTAAGGGAGGGATATTTTTTTGTTGACTTTCCAAAAATACCCTTGATGTGATGTGTAAAAAAAAGATTGATATGTAGATTATTAGTAAAAAGGTATGATGTGATAGGTAGGGTATGAAAAAGTAAGGGGTAAAAGGGGTTTTTAAGGAAAAAGAGAAGTTTATTTGGGGACAAAGAAAAAACGAAAAAGAAGTTTATTTAAGGACGGAGGGAGTATTATTTAAAAAAATTAGAAATAATAAAAGTAAGAATAATTTATTACTCCCTCCGTCCCATGAAACATGGGATGCTTTGTTTTTTTAAGAGATTTAAGGGAGTTTATTTTGGTATTGAATTTCCAAAAATGTCCTTTGATGCGATGAGTAAAAGTAGGATTTGATGGGTAGATTATTAGTAAAAAAATATGATGTGATAGGTATGGTATGAAAAAGTAAGGGGTAAAAGTGACTTTTTAATAGAAATGAGAAGTGTTTTATGGCACTGATGAAAAAAGAAAGGAGAAAGATTTTATGGGACGGAGGGAGTATTATTAAAAAAATTGACTTATTTATATGAAATATGAGTTAATTTTATGAAAAAAAGAGAATTCCTCACATGTACTCCCTCCATTCTAAAAAAGAGTTTATATTTTGACCAAATATAAAAATAAAGAAATGTTAAATTGTAGTTGACTTATAATTTTGCGCTTAATGTGATGGGTAAAAGTAAGATGTGATGAATAGATGATTAGAGAAAAAGTATGATGTGATAGGTAGGGTATGAAAAGTAAATGAAAAGTTGTTTTTTAATAGAAAGTGGAAGTGTTTTGTTGAAAGTCAAAAAAATGAAAGAGGAAAGTGTTTTTGAGAATAGAAAAAAATACATAGATTAATGATGGAGTTAACTGTAGAACTAACTATGTAATGCATGACTTGAAAGACTATTTGTGAAGTTTTTTAAAGTTTGAAAGACTACAATACATTAACTTGAAGTTTAATAATACTCCATAATCATTCAATAATCATCAATGCGGGACGGATAAAGATTATGGATCCACACTATTTGATCTTATAAGCAAGCCATAATAAAGTAGTTTCTATTTTTGATCAATAATAAAAACTGATGGAAGCACATACATGCATGCATATGATCCATGCAATTAAACTAAATAAAATTTACTTAAATAACACTAAAATATAATGAATTTTCCTAAATAGCAACACATGTGTTTTTCTTCTCATGTAGCACTTTTAGTCATTATGCATTAGTCATTATTTAAGTAAATATTCGTCATTACTGGACATTATTAAGTGCTATTTAAGGAATAAAACAATTTACGTGCTATTTTGAGAAATGATTTAAGTTTTAGTGTGCAAATATTTCATTAAACTACTGCAATCATAATTATTAGGCATACCGATTAATTACCGAGTGAGTAATGATAATAATGAGAATAATAATACTCCGTCGTCGTTGTCCTCTCATAAAGTCGATTAATTAAGAAGAAAAAAACAACACAGAACTGATGGTGATGATGATAATTAATGATGATTAATGATAATGACGATGATGATGTTGTTGTGCGTGGGTAGTTAATAATCAAATCATCATCGCATTTCATTTGGCGACTCGATCCTTGATGACGTCGATTCCCATCTCGGCAGGATCGGTGGCCTGAACCTCGTAGTGGATCCCATCGAGAGCCCTCCTCAGCCCTTCCTTGGAGGTGGCGTAGAGCATTTTGGCTCGGATCCTGGACTCCGCCGGCGCCCAGGCGATGAACAGTATCTTGCTCTTCCGGCAGTTGTCGACCGTGACGAAGTCGAAGTCGAACAGGGCGTAGCGGCAGTCGTCCCTGGGGAGAGCGGCAGCCAGGTCGTCGTAGCTCTCCCCGGGACCCCCCACCTTGTCCACCGTGAGGGACAGGGATTTGTCGTCCACGAACTTGAACACGATGTACCTGTGCACCTTCTTCCACTTCATCTCCATGAACGACTTCTTGCATTCCTCCGTCACCCACTTCCCCCCGCCCACCACTGCCTACATATATGGCGAATGTTTACTTCGACTAATCGATAATGATTAATAGTGTGCTACGTTGAGAAAATATATACTACCTCCGTTTCTCAAAACAATTCCCCTTTTGACTTTGGTGAAGAATAAAGAAGTGTTAAATTGTAGTTGACTTTCCAATTTTGCCCTTGATGTGATGGGTAAAAGTAAGATGTGATGGTTTAGTTGTTAGTGAAAAAGTATGATGTGATAAGTAGGGTATGAAAAAGTAGGGGTAAAAGTGGTTTTTTAATAGAAAAGGGAAGTATTTTAAGAAAAACAAAAAAAATTAAAGAGGAAGGGGTTTAAGAAACGGAGGGAGTATATTTATATATATATAATGCTATTTAGTAAATTCTCCTCTATATGTGTGTGTGTGTGTACTCGCGGTTTATGTAATTACTTAGAGTCATGTTGGCTGGGGTAACACTGGGAGTTTGTAAACACACAGGCAATAATCATCGACGAACACACAAAGTTATACTTCTTCTTCCCATTTACTATTCACACGGTCAAACTTTAATCACTTTCTTTATCTATTTTCATTAGGTATTTGATAAAATAATATAGTCTTGTCACCACTTGTTTTGTAGAACTTTTGATGTAGTTTTAAAATATATAAATTTATTTTTTTAATTTTACACCTACAATCAAATAAATTGAACTAAAAATAAAGTCGGTCAAACTTCGTAAACAGAACCGGGAAGAACATTATAGGACGGAGGGAGTAGACGATTAGCGTCTTGATGTGTATTGATTAATTCACAAAGGATTGTCATTCTTGATTTTCAATATATAGCATCATAGCATAGTAGTGGATGAGATTAAGAAGACATACAAGGTTGAATTTAATAATTAAGGGGGATGGGTAGGTAATAGATCGAGTATGTAATAAATATATTTATACCTTCTTGAAAGCATGGGCTGCCATGGAGATGGATAATGGAGACAGTGTGTCTGTGGTGTGTAGTAGTAAAGCGAGCTAATAAGGGTATGGTAGACTGTAGAGAGAGGCGATGATTATGTACTATATCTCATCTGTTGTTGTGCGTCAACTACAATGATCGATGATCAAAGTAAGGGGCTATATTTATAGGGGATACGTATTGTAGTCGCATCATAATCACATGGGGTACGGTGGGAGTGGCTACTCTAATACTCTTATTCTTACTTTCTATCCCACAAAAAATTTCTTTTTTCTTTCATCATCGTGTCAAAAACTCTATTTTATTTCTATTGAAAAAGCACTTTTATTCCTATTAAATCTTAACCTATGACTTTTCATATCACAGTTGTCCACTATTAATCTACCAATCAGTCAATCACATTATACTTTTTACTCATCACATCCAAGAAAGTTTTTGGAAAATTAACACCAACATACATTCTCCTTAAATTCTTTAAAATTCAAAATCAGAAAGGTTTTGTGAGACAGAAGAAGTATATCCTTTTTTTATTTTTGTGGTCAGTTTGTAAATATTGATCACAAATTATGAAAAAATACATCTTATTATGTTATTAATTTAATATTAATAAATTTGTTTCGTAATATAGTTTTGAAATATCATGATTTTATATTTAATATTTATATAAGAATAGAGATATTAATGGTCGATTGACATATTTTATTGGATATCGTGAAAAGTCAAACAAGAAAAAAAAAATATAAGACAAAAAGAGAAACAAAAAAAACTAGCAAACTCCAATATCATGACATTGCCGTTCACCTCATTCTTTGCATAGACACACAATAGTTTTCCTCTATGCATGTTTGTAAAAGGAATATAATTGGGTGAATGGTGTTGTCAAAATTTTTGGTTGCACGAAGCACAACTCTCATCTATAATAATTGAGCCATGCTAGGGATACACCAAAATGAAGTATCTCATTTGTACAACACATACATACACTTAGTGTCTGCATGTGATCACATGCACTAGGGATTTGTATTTGCCTGGTGCGCAAATGGGGTACCCCATTTTGGTGTACGCCTAGGTTTATTCATAATAATTTGGTGAGGTGCTCTTGTCGCATATACTCTGCTAAAAAATTGTCAATTTATTTTTCAGTTATATTCACCTCATTATTTTTGAATAGTATTTTATTTATCATTTGTGAAAATAAAATAATCATGTAAAATTTTATTTAAAAATAATCATTTTTACATAGAAAATAAAATTGGCAAACGGGGTAGAGTTTTTTTAAATATGTTATTTAAAAAACTAGATTATATATTAATATTTTGAATAAATGTAATTAAAAATAAATTTAATCAAATATCAAGAAATCATGAGAAGAAGCAATGGATTCCTTATGCCCTGCCTAAATCTTCGAGCCCACTCAAGAACATTTCTAATGTATGGTACACCCGAACATTATTTGATATATGTATTTACATTCCTTGTACTATTGATAGAGACCTGTATATTCGTGGCCAATCCCATGATCATGAGTTCATGACATGGACTCTATCGAAAACAAACTAGGGGACAGACGCATAGGACGAATGACTTGTACAAATGTCTCCTCCGCTCCTCCGCTTTAGAGGAGGGACATCACAATCTCACTAATTAAGCAATAAAACACTCGTACCGCACTTCTGCAATCTACGAGCACTTTGCTCGTTTGAACTACTCTCCTTGCCTAGGCTACTCTAAGCCCGGGTTCGAAAACCCATTATTAGTAATATTCTAGCTTACTTTTTCACGAAATGTACGATTGATGTAAAATCTTTGGTTGTTATTTACATTGGAGTAAAAATAATAAGAATCAGAAAAACATTATTACTCCCTTCGTCCCAATTAAAAGACATAAAATTCATGGAAAAGTTCATTCAAGTTTGAATCGTTACGGAGATTGAGGCATTGGCTCATTGAGTATCATCACTATAAAAATCTACCGAATTCGATGAATATTGTGGAGTATAACCGATGAAGTTTTAGATTGATAAAGTATAACTATGTAGATAATACTCCATCCGTCCTTTAAAACATTTCAACTTCCACTTCGTATCCGTCCCATAAAATATTTCAATTTCGTCTAAATGGACACAATTATCCTTACTTTTCTTAAATCTAACAAGACGTACCCCAACTACCTTCTACGCTCTACCCGTTTTGATATATCTCAAGCCTAACTTGTTTCAATTGTCGTCGTTTCGTCTTGGTCAAACTCCTATATCTTCCTTTTTCAAAAGTCAAAACCGGAAAAATTTTGCGAGACGGGGAAAGTATGTTGTAATCGAGTCAATAGCACTAAAATTAAAACAATATATAGGCTTTCATGATAATTTTAACTAGGGCACAAATTGCATGCTAAATACTCCGTATGTAAAATAACAAGGATTACGGAAGGAGTACAGTACTACTACATGTCTTCATCGATCTAGCTAGGCCAGGCCAGGCCAGGCCACCACTTAGTTAATATATATATATATATATATATATATATATATATATAGTTGAAAGTTACTAATAAGTTAAATGAGATTAGGTCACACATCATCGTCCATCACTTATGGACTTACGTTCTTAGACTTTAGTGTTTTGTACACTCTCTATTGTTTTGCTCTTTTTATCATCATACATCAATATATAATTATCTCATGCATCCCATATATCCATATAGCGTATCTCTTATTAAAATTATATGCGTCGCCGTCGCATACATACATAGACATATATAATACCGAGTACGTATATTATCATGTCATGCATGCCGTCAATTCCCAATACCTTTTATGCCTCTTGAACTCAACATTCCATGATCCTCATGTTCCTCCATTATACTACGGAGTAATTTTCAATGATGATAATATATACACGGGACGGTTCCCACGACATGGGACGTGTCTTCTCATGACATGGGATTCTAATGTCATGGAAAGCCCATCGATACATACAACATCTTTAATTTCTAGAGTTTTCCTAGCTACAACCATGCATCCAGCAACATATGTGTACTAGCTCGATTTATTTCTAGCAATGAAATTATGTGATACTTTCTTCGTGTCATAATAATGCTTTATTTTATTATTGACAGATGGAGAAAACAATATATTTACTTTATTCACCTATTTTTATTAATTATTCCGTATTTCATAAAATAAAATATTTTTGTCACCATTTATATATCTTATTTTGTTCTCCCTCCGTCCCGGAAAACATGAGAGTTTTGATTTTGAAGAAGGATTTAAGGATAGTGTGTTTTGGTATTGAATTTCCAAATATATATATCAGATTTATTTAGTAATTTTACACCAATCTTTATATAAATTGAATAGAAAATAACTTTTGTGAAACATCGTGATCTAAAATTGAAACATTATTAATTACTCCCTCTGTCCTAAAACGTTCTTCCCACTTCCCCTTTTTCTCCGTTCTAAAACTACCTTCCCATTAGAAAAAAAGATGACAAATGACATTAATACCCTCGTGTATTTACACCAATTATCTTCTAACTCTATGTTTTGAATGATTGCAAAAAAAAATTAAAAAATCTTTTTTAAGGAGGGTAAAATTTGAAGCCAAAGCCAAAAATTAAAAATGAGGAAAAGTCAAACTGGGAAGAAAGAATTACGACGGAGGGAGTATGAGATAAGGCCAGGGAGTAATTATTCATACTAGCTTGCTTGTTTAGACGTGAAAGAAGAAATATGAACCATACAAACATTCTCTCAAAATAATGGAAATTGAATTTTAGGATATAATGATGAAGAAACATATTGATTAGAAATAGGAGTATGACATTCCCAAGTGGTCACGTTGGCATAATATATATGGGAAATTATGCAAAACCCATTCTACCTTGGGATCCACCACTTTTCTGTTATTGGTTCTTTATTGATTAATTTTTTGATGACTTCACCTGGTTTGAAAGAACTGTTGAAAGGTAAAAATGTCTCTTTTGAATTGAATTTATTTAAAAAAAAAAGAGAAATTTATAGCTAGCTATATATTCATTAATTATCAAAATAAGAAATAAACTAATAAAGTATAAGAACTACTTGAGACATTCAAACAAATAAAGTATAATGAGTTTATAAGATATTGAGATTATATGCATGTTTTCTCAAGTACGTGTCAACAACAATGCAACATGCATGTGTTGTGCTTAAATCCTTCTAACCAATCNGGGATTAATTACGTGTATAAAGAAGCATGAAATGGAATTGCCTTTGATGTCCTTCAAAAAAAAAGGATTGCCTTTGCTTCTTGACTCTTAAGGAAACAACCCCGGTCGGCCCAGCCGAAAACCCTTTCCTGTTTTATTTCTTTTGATTAAGTATTGACACTCTTTGTCCCCGATGTACGATGACATTCTGGTGTCACTGTCTTTTTGGAGCACCTCTGATGCTTCATTCACAAAATTGATCGTTCTATCCCTTTTAACTCCGACCCTCCTCCCTCACTCCCTCCAAATATGTGACTATTATGCAATGCATAATAACCACGATTAAAAAAAGTGGTAGAAGCTCGTAAATCTTTATTAATATATTCTTTTTATAAAGCAAATAGGCTTCCATTCTTAAATAATCTGGACTGCTTTTGGTTTGATTGTAAGACAAGATTTCCATTCTTTTGTGGAAATGACTTGGAATGATCCGGACCGCATTCAATAATACTCACACATTTGGAGGGGGCAAAGGGGAGAGAGTTGGGGTGGAGTGCAACGAGGGGTTTAGGGATGATGTTAGGAGGGTAGAAAGCATCAATTTTGTGAATGGAGCACCTGAGATGTTCCAAATGGACGGGTGTCATCCAAATATGTGGCTATTATGCATTCCAATTCAAGTCAACAGAATCTTACCATATTAAAAAACTAAATACTAAATTTTTATTATATAATGACTAAAATTAGATTAAAAGTATGAATTACTCCGTATTATGTTAAACAATATTTTTATGTCATCTATAGCAAAATTAGACATAATCGCTAAGTTGCTAGAGCAATATAAGAAAGCAAAGTTAAGAGAAGGACTTGATTGAACAAAAAAATAGTACATGTACTAAATTACTTTGATTTTGAGTATAAGGATTAATTTAAAGATTTCTACATAGTACAAAGATATTCCCTCTGATTCAATAAACCCTTCTTTCATTTTTTTTCATTTCCCTAAAACACTTCCACTTTCTATTAAAAAACTATTTTTATCTCTATTTTTTGATACCTTACTTATCACATCATAGTCTTTCACTGATAATCACTATCATATACTCCCTCCGTTTCTTAAAACCCTTCCTCTTTCATTTTTTTTGTTTTACTTAAAACATTTCCCCTTTCTGATAAAAAACCACTTTTACCCCTACTTTTTCATACCCTAGCTATCACATCATACTTTTTCACTAACAACTAAACTATCACATCTTACTTTTACTCATCACATCAAGGGCAAAATTGGAAAGTCAACTACAATTTAACACTTCCTTATTTTCCCCCAAAGTCAAAAGAGGAACTCTTTTGAGAAAGAGAGGTAGTATTACATTTACACATCATATCAGGGGCAAAATTGGAAAGTCAACCATAAATATATTTTCCTTATTTTGGCTTTAAAAAGGAGAAGGGTTTATTGAATGATACTTTGTCCAAGTATTATCATGTCATGAATAATTTTGTGACAACCAAGTGAAAGATTATTCCATGACATATTGTCACAGAATAATCCACCGCTAATGATGAATTTGTTGATCCTCAACTTAATATATGCTCCGTAACATATACGAAGTAACTAGTTGTTAATTGGTAGGGCATACCTGGTATTTTGGTCATAATCCACCGACTGCCTTGCTCACATGAAGGGTTTATTTTCAAACCTTCTCAACCAACAGTTGTAAAATGAAGAAATTCATTTCAAATGAGTCTAAATATGTGAAACGAACCGTAAAACGCATTCGGTAGCGATGGGAAGGCAAATCAAACGTCAATAGAAAATACAGCTGCTCTTTCCTAAACGGGATAAAGTCATGGGATGGTATCGTGCGAATGTCGCTTACATCCGAAAGAAACTTCACCGTGTTGACACCTTTTTCCAATTTCAATTTCTCCTCACCATGCGTTGTCCCAAAGTTCAAACGCAAGTTACGCCAAACCCAGCCTCAAATTCTACAAATGGTCATTGCCAAAATTAGAGCATGTGGCCAAAATGTTAGAACAAGGGAATACTAATAATGTGTACGTCCACCTACGTAAAAAAATGACCAAGACATACTACACACATTCACAAACCCAAAGGGTCGAAAAGTTGCAGGGAAAAAATGGTTCACACAAAGCAAGCAGTACCCCTATAGCTGCTTTATGATGATGTTGATGAGCTCTGCAGAGTTGCCTTATCATCATCATCATCCCACTGGCTCTTAGGTATCTCTCCAGAATCAGCAATGGTGACCTTCTTCCTAGGTTTCCCACTGTATGTCCCGGCTCCCCCCTCGACTGCATACACCGTGTCCATCCCTTCAATAACTTTCCCAAACACAACATGCTCCCCGTCCAACCTGCCACAACAATTCTCAATATATACTCTCTCTCCCAGTCACTCCAAATAATAAATGATGCAACCAACATTACCAGCTTGTCTTGACAGTCGTAATGAAAAACTGGCAGCCATTAGAATCGCGTCCAAAGTTCACCATGGAAACAACACCTATTCGCAAAGCACAACCAAAAGCACACATTTAGTACTCCGTCCCACTGTCCTCTTTGGGCATTCCAAAATGATCTTACCATTCCTTTTAAGATGATGTGGTTCATATTCTCTTTTCTTAAACTCGTGTCATTTTCAAATTATAAGTTCATTTTGGGACGCAAGGAGTATTATTTTTGTGTCCCATGGAGAGAGATTTAGCGTAAAAGGGAGTCTAAAGACCTGGGTGGGAGTGCTTGATCTTGAAGTTTTCATCAGGAAAGCTACCTCCATATATGGACTCGTTTCCCCTTCCATCACCATATGCAATATCTCCACCTTGAATCATGAACCCAGGTATTATGCGGTGAATTGGTGTTCCCTTATAATGAAGGGAAATACCTTTTGCAGTCTTCCCCATCTCCCCTGGATTTAATATTGTAAGTGTGTGCGCACGCTATAGCCAATTCAAATATGCATGATTTGAAATTCAAAGTTGAAAAGCTCAAGTTTGTGAAGGTATGTGAATTTGAGGTAATCCAATAAATACCTGTGCACAATGCCCTGAAGTTCTCTGCACAACAGATAGCAAAATATGTTACACAATGAAACCTAGAACTAACAAAAAAATGAAAACTGAGGAATTGCATTTATCGGCATGTTGACTCAACATACCAGCTGTTTTTGGTACATCTTTGCCATATAATCCGATAACAATTCTTCCTGTAAAATATGTAGAAATGTTATGGCCTAAGTAGACATCCAAGTAACAGTTCCTTTTCCAAGAGAATGATTATGTCAGAATATATGTAGGCCTCTTTGCATATATGTTAGCTCAAATACACTTGGGAAGATATGGTCAACAGGGAGAATCAAGGGTTGTTGATATGAGGAGCTCGCATTAAAAAAAGAGTGCAACTAAGAACCCTCTTGCACATTTTTATGGCAATATTAAGAAAGCAACAAACATAAAACATACCTATTCGCTGCTTATCGATATCGACATCCAAATATACTCTATGGGTTACTTCAAACACCTCTTCAACGTTTTCTCGCTGCTGACAATTAAGACGTTGGAAATATTGTGAAACACTTGGTGAAGGGTAAATATTTTAATACTTGAAGAAATGGTAATGAGTAAATACTCAGTTTAGTCCTTGTAAGTGCTCTCACAAGTCAATTTGGTCCAGTGAAATTAGTCCCTGTAACTAGGAAATGTGAATCAAATTAGTCTTTTATGCAAAATTTATATTCCAAAATTATAAGTAACACGTTAATTGATACAAAAACTAATACATGGGGTCATTGCTCTTGCGTCAATTAACGTGATAACTCAAAATTTTAGGAGATAAATTGTGTTCGAAGAGCTAACTTGATTCATATTTTTTATATAGAGAGACTAATTTGACTCAAATGAACTTACAGGGACCTAGTTGAGTCATGAGTAAACTTAGAGGGACCAAAATGACTATTAAGTCAATGTTAATTAATAGCAGCAAAGAAGTATCATGGTTTTGAAAGGCGGAGCTTTTCATGTCAAAGACATGGGTTTGATTCCCCGCTGCTTTCAGTTAGTGTTCAATGTTGAGTGATCAGCTCAGCTTGGTCCGATGATGACAAAGACAGTAACTACTCTATAAAATCGATGGAGAATGTCATCATCTGAAGCAGTGTAACGTATAGTGATAAGTTATCTATGTATGAAAAGATGAGTAATGAGTTGAACATAGTGAAACAAACTGAGTTGTCCGGAATGAGTTGAACTATGAGAAACTCATTCAGTTCAAGAAGTCTAAACAGAAACATCTACCTAAAGGGAACCTACTAAACAGAAACAAGATTAAGAAAATGATAAACACCGACTGCAAAATGATTTGATTATAATACCTATACCCAAAGCCGTTCAGAAACAAGATTAACAAAATCCAACCGGAAATTGAACTGAAAGATGGAAACTTTCATCGGTATGAAATAACCCAGCACAGCCCAGAACTGAAAGCACATGATTTAAATCCAAAACAGCCGAAACCCAGATCCCCAAAAAAGTAGAACAACTGACACTAAAGGAAAGAAAAGTTACCTGGAGAAAGGAGGAGGCAGCGAAATAGATCAGAACGAAAGCGAGGATGGCGAGGAGAAGATAGCGTGTGCGAAATATAGCTGAGATCCCCCGACCCATCTCTTCTTCTCTTTCCTACACTCAACCCAACATTTACAAATTCTTCTTCCTCGGATCAATTGGCCAGGATAAACGAAGATTAAAGGCATAAAACAATGGGGAATGGTATCAGGAGCGCAGCCGAAGAGTGAAATATAGCTGAGATCCCCCGACCCATCCCTTCCACTGAATCAAACAAAACTGAAAACGCAGAGCCATTGTTCTTCCAAACTGTAGCATCGAATTGGGCTTTCTATCTTCTGATTCAACGCTAACGATGAAGAAGACTCGAAGATCACTCGTAACCCATCAGATGGATTAATCATCTGGGCCATGGTTGCTTTAGTAGCCCAATAACAGAGTCAAGTTTCTATTCTCAATTTGCATCATACGATCAAAAAAACTTATTAGTTGTTTTTATTAAAATTAATTGCGATCAGGCTAGATTAGATCAAAAAGTATTACTCCGTATTTATAAGATTTTTTAAGTCTATGCAAAGTTTGATATATTTTAATGTATTTTATTAGTAGGATTTTATAAGCTTTTATCTGATTATTTATAACCCAGAGATTATTTATGCATAAATATGAATTATTTCATAAATTTATACATTGTTGTAACATGAACTACTGTAATTAGTTATTAATTAAAAACTTTGTTTATGAAATCGATAAAAAATTAAAAATAAGCTAATAAAATAAAAATAATTCTTTTTTTTTAAATTATCATTGTCGTAATATATTTATTAGAATAAAATAATACTTCGTATACTGCTCATTGTCAGAAACAATACATTTTTTTCATCTAAAATTGTTATTGTTTCTCAGCTATTCTTCTTGTATGTCAAAACTCATCAATAATCCCATCCTATATATATATGTAAAAGAGAGTTTAGTTGTTGCAATGTTGACATGTGGCATGCCACATGTGCATCCACATGTGCACCCATTTATGAAGTGGATATATGCATTGCACCTATTTTAAATATCTTTTAATACATTTGTATAAAATTTTTCATTCCTTAATAATTCTGAATATATATTTCACCATTGTAAAATAAACTTCGTATTTTGAGTACACACACATAAAATTATTTTTATACTATCCACAGCTTATTTTAGTTTATTACTTCTCGAAAAATGATTGTATAAATTTAAAGGGTGACAACTGACAAATGACATTATGACACACATATATATTCTCTAATGATGTATCATTATGCATGTAACTGATCCACTTTTTATTATAATATTTTATTGATCCAAACCATTTCTATTTAGTACTTAATTCAATGATTATTAATTTTGTAAAATTGTTTTTTTAAATTAACATACCAATATACTCTGTATGTTCCATCAGTCTAAAACATTTTTTGTCGCTATTAGAAACTAAAACAACTAAGATTATATTTATAAAATCTCAAAATTTTAGAATATATACGAGCCCGTGCGAAGCACGGGGTAAACACTAGTATATATGTAAATTAGTTAAGTTAACTTCTTGGGGTGTTGACATGTGGCATGCCATATGTGCATCCACATGTGCATTAGTATTCCATTCAATCTATATATCCTATATATGGAATTATTTAATTAATCCATTTTTTATTATAATGTTTTATTAATTAAAACCATTTTCATTAGTACTTCATTCATTAATGACTATTAGTTTTGTATAAAATTTTCATTTTTAAATAAACATACCAATATATATTCCACCAGTTTAAAACATATTTTGTTTACATAATTAAAGTATATCTATAAAAATTTTTTTAACTTTATTGATGTTTTGAAAAATTAAGTTTTATTTGGTTTTTAAAATATAATAAATCATTTCTCTTTTACTACTTTTAAAGAAAATACTTATAGAGTCTTTAGTGCATGTACATCTATATTTAAATTATATTATTTGAAAAAAGATATATCTTAGAGTTAAAAAAATATTCATCTAACACATATTATGTCACTATTATAAAACTAAAAGAAATAAAATTATATATATATATATATATATATATATATATATATATATATAATATCAAAAATTTAGAATGTATACGAGCCCGTGCGAAGCACGGGGTTAACACTAGTTCAATTCTAAAGACAACGCAAAAGAAGACATTATTCAAACTTATAAGATAATTGAAAAATAAAATGTTCTAGGGAGCGTGTGATGTGTGAAATATTTCGGGCAAATTGTTCTATATTTGATTAAAGTTTTTTTTAATTTAATTTAGAGTAAATTTAATAAAAGATCTCCAGTTATAAGTCGTTTTAGATATTTAGTACGTGCACATGAAATATCAATAATTTAGTTATTACTCCGTATTATATTGTTTTCCATAAATAGTCCTTTATTGACTTTTTTGTTAAGAACATGGATAAAATTGTATATTCAATTAAGTTCCTTACTTCCTCTCTTACTCGTTCCAAAATCCGTCGCTGAATTTGACGCTTTAAACCTAAAACCGAAACGATCACTCTTTTCTCAATTATTTACTTTCTTGGTGGAACCCAAAATCAAAACCAATAACCTTTATGGATGAATTTTATGGGTTAATCTCAGGAAATTGCACAAAAAACAAACCTTAAAACTCATTCATGAAGGTTACTAGTTTCGATTTTGGATTCCACCAGGAAGACGAAGAATTGAGAGAGGAGGGATAATTTCGGTTTTGGGTTTAAAACTTCAATCTTAGCGACGAGTTTGGCAAAGGAGTGCGAAAGGAGAGAGCAAGACGAATTGAGGAGAGAGATGAGCGCGAATATACCATTTTATCCATATTTTTAACGTAAATGTTAACAAAGGATCATTCGTGGAAAATAATATAATAATTAGGGACTAAACTATTGCTATTTGATTTGTGGGCTAAATATGTGAAACGAACTATAACTAGGGATCTTTTATGGAATTTAATCTTTAATTTATTTTGATATTAACGCAAAATAAAAAAAATTAAATTTATATATACTTAAAGACTAAATGAAAATTACTACGTGTAAAATATAAAAATAAGAGACAATATGACTATTTTATTTGACAAGATAAATACTCCCTCCGTCCCTAAATATTTGCCACATTTGTATTCCCGAGGCAAAATATCAAGTTTTTTCAATTCATTTTATTTAGATATTGGTATAGAAATAAAAAATAAAATTTACATATCAAAAAACTACATGAAAAGTTTTTCGAAATAAGAGGTGTCGAGAATATTTTATTTTATCAAATAACCAATGAAAACGTAGAAATAAACAAAGATTTCCGCAACTGCTGAAAAAGCAAACGTTGCAAATAATTTGGGACGGAGGGAGTAATTAGGGAGATGCAAGAGGTATATCAAAGGTGTACCCCAAATGTCCCACACCCCTCTATAACCATTCATTTTTATTTACTTGTTTTTTTTTTGAATTTTCTTACCCTTTTTTGTGGACAAAGAAGGAGTGAGGGACGTTTGGATACACCTTTGGTGTACCATAGTATTTTCAAGAGCAATGCTAGGGGTACACTTTTAGTCTACCCCATTTGTTCCCCACCACCTTTTCCACTTTTTATTTTTATCTAATTTTTATTTATTTATTTTAAAGTTCTTACCCATTTATGTGGTGGAGGAGAAGGTGATAGACAAATAATTAAGTTACTCCAAGGAAGGAATAATGACAAGGGCGAAGTTAATGTGGTAGCCGGACACGTATATCAATCATTTTGTGATTTAAGACACTGACTTGATATGTTCCATCCACATTCCAAAATCTGAAAAAATGTGCGTAAATATTGTGTATCCAATCATTCAAAAAATAATGTGTATCTTATCATCACACCTCGTTTCATATGCATCTGCATATCACATTTGATCACTTATCTTGTGCCTTCTTTGTTTTAAGTAGGGTTGGAAGCATAACATAATCACATGGATTAAGCTATTTATAAGTCAAAACTCGTATCTTGTTTTATATCACAAAGGCATGCACTGACATTTTTGCGCTGGTGTGATATTTTATATTAACAAAAAAATGTCAATATTTTTTAAATGAACTACTATTTTGTATCAGCATGCATCGTTAAAATATCGATTTACTTTTTTAGAGTAAAGATTTCAACGTACCCCTAACATGCATGGTTGTAGTCACATAGACCTCTTGATAAGGTAAGTGGCAGTGAATGGTTACTCCCCAAGAATTTTTGCATTATGTTGGATTGAATAGCAAGAGCTCTAAGGTTTCTAGCAAATGTTTTGTGTTTTCTTTTAACCACTCCATTCTCTTAAGATGTATCTTTAACATTTATTGATTCAATGAATAATTTCCTGAGAGAGGAAAATTTGAGAGAGAGTTTTGTCAAAAAATTGAGAGAGGGCTTTTGCTCAAAGTTTTTAGAATCCAGACTATAGTAGTTATGTCGTTGCATCTCATAAATTGCAATTTGTTCTACGTGGAAAAAGCAAACGGCATTGAAATCCGTCATGAATTGAGGCTCTTGAGTTTGAATTTCTTATAAATCAATATGAGACATGTATGTTTTGCAGGATGTAGATGCAATGGATCAATAAAGTAAGATAAATTTTCTATAGCCACCCTAGAAAAAAGAAATTAGAAACGACAATAATGAAAAGAAAATTGAAATTCTAAAGAACACAAGTTGAATTGCAGTTAAGAACATCAAATAGCTCTGATACCATTTTTTTATGAAACGATTGCCAATGATAGAGAGATGAACAAAAAATGTAAAGGAAAAGGTATCTTTGATTGAATAAATTGTTCCAAAATAAATACACATAAGGCTAAAGTTCAGAGCTACATATACAAAGAAGAAGAGAGAAGAGAGGCCAACAAATCCCTATCTACACAAACAAACTAAAGTCACGTTCTCTTCATCTAATCTGAACGATTTTGATCTGATTAGAATAAGCTCTGATCTTATCTAAATATGATTGTATTTAAAACTATTTCTAATTTGATATAGTCAAATATGACCTCAATAAAAAAAATAATAAAAATAAGTTGAAGAGATGGAACATAACTAAAATCAAGATGAGATAGCTTATAAAACTAATCTATTATCTATTATTCCAACAAAGTAAGTAGAAATGCATCCTCTCTAGTCTCTAGCTACTTCCAAATGCAGGCACGGCACAAGTTTTATGTATGAACAATTAGCACACAGAAATTGCAATTTTTACGTGGAAATTCCAGGCTGTGAAATCCCGCCACCACCCGACATGGGCCACCCACCGTACCTGTCGTACTTTGTTTCATCTTTCCTCGACAACGACCCGCCATATATGCCTCTCCTTTCGTTCAACACATCTTCATCCATCATTTGTTTTTTTCTATAACACTCCTTTAGTTTCAAATTAACGGTCCTAACATAACTTGACATTATTTAAGAATTCAAATTTAGTTAGGGTTCGTTTGGTATATGGAATTGATAGAATTGGAATTGAAATTTCATGTGATTCAATTCCATAGAATTGAATTCACCAATTCCAATTCATTTTTTACACTAGAAATTCCAAATCCACATAATTTTTGTGCTACCAAACACCATAATCGGAATTCAAATTCTCGATTCCAATTCCGTAGTTTGAATTCCGTGTACCAAACGGGGCCTTAGAAGAAAAGAAGTTATATATCACATATTTTTTAATTTTATTACTACCTCCGTTCTACAAAATCCTTCCGGTTTTGACTTTGGGGAAAAAATAAGGAAAGTGTAATTTTGGTTGACTTTCCAATTTTGCCCTGATGTGATGAGAAAAAGTAAGATGTGATAGTTTGGTTATTAGTGAAAAACTATGATGTGATGGGTAGAGTATGAAAAAGTAGGGGTAAAAAGTGGGTTTTTAATAGAAAGTGGAAGTGTTTTGTGGAAAGCAAAAAAAACGAAAGATGAAGGGTTTTGTGGAACAGAGGGAGTAGATAAAACAATGTAATAACTATTTTACGATGGTTTTTCAAAAGATAATAAAACGATTAATTCAAAACGGATTTCCAAGTAAAACAATGCACCTCCTTATTTTGCATAATCATCTTGATGGGGGTCATGCCATAATGATTAAAATCTCCACATTCTATTAACATCTCTCCTCATGGGCGGATGCAGGAAGGAGCTAATGGGGGCACTTGCCCCCAGTCAATTTCTAAAACAACTAAGCAAAACAATTTTTTTATGTATTGATTAGAAGATTGCCCCCACTCAAATTATTAAACTGCCCCTAGTCCCCAGCTTAGACTAGGAGGTTAAAATAAAAAATAAAATTATAACATTATTTTAATTTCTCTTGTTAGGCGGAAATGATGCAACCTCCACTCCACCAGGACTTCGGATGAGATTAGAATTATATTTTTCATATTATATGAATAATAATCTTTCGTGCTTTTGTTTGTGTTTAAAAATATTAGTTTATCTTCCATTGTTTTAGGTTGTAGCTAGTTTAATAATTGAGCTAGAAGTTATTTTATAAATGGATTGTGGAATGAAATTCTTAAATGAAGTTGATTACTCAATTCTTCCAAAAAATAATAGTATTGCTGATTGTGGGTAAAATATTTTATTTTCATGATTCTTTTTTGCCTGAAAACAAAAGATAGAATCTGAAGCAGAAACTTTTAAGAGCTTATAATAATTTTGGTCTCTCAATATTTTTTTTTGGTTTACTCATTTTTTATGATTATTTGATAAAATAAAATTTCTTGTCTCACATTATAATTTTGTAAATTTTTTTATTTACTTTTCAAGAATGTAATTTAAACCTTTTATTTTTCCTACCAATTTATAAATACAATGATTGTAAATAAGATGACATATTGCATGTTGTTCAAAATACGGTGAACATTTTGAAACGGAGGGAGTAGAAACGAATTATAAAATGCACATTTTTCACATATTAATTAGTTTTATTTTAATTTGCTTTACTTCCATTGTATGTGTGCTAGTCGATGCCCCCGGTGAATTTATTTTCTAGATCCGCCACTGTCTCTCCTTGCTGACAATTTATATGTTGTAATTTGGAGTATTTCATTATCTTTTTTATTTCCATATCTTTATTACTGAGTAATATTTTTAAATTTTTTTTTACATTATTTGTCTTTTTAGCGTAATGATTATTTATAATTTATTGTATTTAACTAATTAATTTTCAAAATATATAAAGTAATAAGAAAAAGAATACATTGTGCAAATGTTATTTTGATTTTAGTGTGCGGCGGCTTAGAAACATATTATTGTAAATATAAGAGTTCATGCACTCTCAATTTGAGTTTGGTGTGAGTGGTATGAGATAGCTAGTCTTAGAGAGTTGAAGCTATGAAGATAGTCCCCTCCGTTCCACAAAAACCTTCCGGTTTTGACTTTGGGGAAAAATAAGGAAAGTGTAATTTTGGTTGACTTTCCAATTTTGCCCCTGATGTGATGGGAAAAAGTAAGATGTGATAGTTTGGTTATTAGTGATAAAGTATGATGTGATAGGTAGGGTATGAAAAAGTAGGGGTAAAAGTGGTTTTTTAATAGAAAGTGGAAGTGTTTTGTGGAAAGCAAAAAAAACGAAAGAGGAAGGGTTTAGTGGAANATGAAGATAGTCCCCTCCGTTCCACAAAAACCTTCCGGTTTTGACTTTGGGGAAAAATAAGGAAAGTGTAATTTTGGTTGACTTTCCAATTTTGCCCCTGATGTGATGGGAAAAAGTAAGATGTGATAGTTTGGTTATTAGTGATAAAGTATGATGTGATAGGTAGGGTATGAAAAAGTAGGGGTAAAAGTGGTTTTTTAATAGAAAGTGGAAGTGTTTTGTGGAAAGCAAAAAAAACGAAAGAGGAAGGGTTTAGTGGAACGGAGGGAGTATAATTTAAATTACGAAGTATAAAAAAACAGCTAAAGAATAAAAAAAATAATGAAGGAAAAGACTTCCCATTATTGGTGTGTTTGGTTGGATGTAAAATACTCCCTCCGTCCCTAAATAAACTTCCGTTTTTGACTTTTTGAGGATTTAAGGGAGGGATATTTTTGTGTTGACTTTCCAAAAATACCCTTGATGTGATGTGTAAAAGTAAGATGTGATATGTAGATTATTAATAAAAAGGTATGATGTGATAGCCGATAGGTAGGGTATGAAAAAGTAAGGGGTAAAAGGGGTTTTTTAAGGGAAAAGAGAAGTTTATTTGGGGACAAAAAAAAACGAAAGAGGAAGTTTATTTAGGGACGGAGGGAGTATTTTCTAAGAAAATTTTGATTCCATTTTCATGTGTTTGGTGACACTAGTGGAAGGAAAATATTTTCCTACCAAACAATAGATTTTATGATAGAAGAATAATTTTCCTTGAAATTATTTTTCTTTGGAAAATTTTCTTCAAAGAAAATATTTTACCCCTCCAAACACAACCTATATTGAAAATGAGGAGGATGATTTGATGGTTAAAAAAAAGTAATCGTAAATTCCATAAGTAACCAATTATGTGACATCATTCGGCAATATCATAACATGATCTGACACACCCACGACGCCTCTTTCAAAAAAAATGATACTTCCTACACCCAGCTAACCAATGGCAGATCCAAGATGAAAATTCACTGGGGCACATACACTGTGTAGCACAGAAATTTTACATAGGATCTGTTTGGGAATAGCGTTAGCGATTAGCATTAGCGTTTTGAAAAGGCTATCTACGGGCAGCGTTTAACGTTCACGTTTTCAAAGTAATCTGCATCGTTAAAATTTTATTCAAAACGTTAACACTAATCTCTAATGTTATTCCCAAACAGGCCCATAAGCATCCTTCTTTCTTGAAATATTTCTCTCCCTCATAGTTTTTGTCTGATACTCTTATGCATTATTTCGGTAATATGTGAATCAGTGCATGCTAAGATTTTAATCACTATGGCATGACCCCGTCCATCACTAAATACTCTCCATTAATGATTACAATAATTTATCAAATCATGAGTATTTAACAATTTTGATTACTTTTTTCAGTCCTAAAATTGATTGCACAACACAGCATTCTTAAATTGTTATAACCTTTAATTTCTATGTATATTTTCATTGATTATTGATAAAATAAAATTTTTTATCACTTCTTACATAGTAGGAAATTTGTTGTAGCTTTGAAATATGCAAGTTTTATATATATCACTTCTTTTTTATCTCATTATTTGGCCTCATGTCTTTAATTAGTTACTGATTTTATTTAAAAAAAAATCGACTATCATAGTAAAAAAACTCTTTAAATTAGAAAGTTTGAATTAAATTTTTTATTCGTATTCTTTCGTTTTTCTATCTTCATTTGCTTATCAGATTTTACTATGACTTTAACTACTCATCTTTGCTGGTTTTCAATCATGATCAGAGTATTTCCTCTGTATATATGAAAAACACTATTTTTTGGGTTGGGGGCACTTCCTTTTTTTCATTGGGGGAACCATAGTATCGAACTCATAAAAGCACTAATATGATAACTAATTCCATCCCTAAAAAATAGTTTATCTGGGGGGCAATTGCCCCCACTATATTGAATGTAGATCTGCCAATGCAGCAAACTTCCACCTTGCCCTGATCCGAACTCACCCTCAACTGCTTGAATTGCACCTTCTAAGTTTATTTGGTTTTGGAATTAAAATGTTGTAACCAAAGTCAAATAAATTTGAAGGGGTGAGTGAGTTCGTGTAAGGGCGAGTGGGGATTTGCCGGAGATTAGAAGGGATAGAAATCGCTAATTTTATAAATAGAGTATTGGAAATGCCCCAATTCGGTATATGATCAAAAGTAAAGTTAAATTGGAAATGAATATAGCAATTTTGTTCATGTAAAGTAAAAGGGAGCGTCTAAAGTGACAACAGTTACTTATACACCAGTTACTTACACCAAACGAAATGGTGTAAGCAAATGACACGAGTGATACTAATGTCATTTTAGACTTGCCGAAAGTAAAATATGTCAAGGGTCAGAGTTTTATAGACTCCTTAGTCGTGTCCAACTTGGAGTGGTGAGGAATTTAAAACGTGTGGGGGAGTGTATATATAAACTGTAAATTGCAAAGGTATGAGTATGACCGAGAGGAGATCATTGTTATTTTGGGTTATATAGTCCAAATAAATTACGGAGTGGTTTTGCGAGCCCATTTATCTTTCTCACCATAAACCAACCGTCTTAATAAATTTATCTTCTAAAAAGAAAGTAAAGAAGATGGGGTTCCAAGTCTCTTCCACATCGCCGGCCACTAAATGGATTGGCTTTGTCACCGCCGTCTGGGTCCAAGCCATCTCCGGCAACAACTACACCTTCTCCAACTACTCCGACGCCCTCAAGAACCTCATGGCACTCACTCAGCTCCAGCTCAACAACCTCTCCGTCGCCAAGGATGTCGGAAAAGCCTTCGGTCTCCTCGCCGGCGTCGCTTCCGACCGACTCCCCACCCCCGTCATCCTCCTCATCGGCTCAGTCGAAGGCTTCGTGGGCTACGGCGTCCAGTGGCTCGTCGTCAGCGGCCGCATCCAGCCTCTCCCCTACTGGGCCATGTGCATCTTCCTCTGTATGGGCGGCAACAGCACCACCTGGATGAACACCGCCGTCCTCGTCACCTGCATCCGCAATTTCAGGAAGAACAGAGGCCCCGTCTCCGGAATCCTCAAAGGCTACGTCGGACTGAGCACCGCCATCTTCACCGACCTCTGCTCCGCCCTGTTCGCCGACGACCCGGCGAAGTTCCTGCTCATGCTCGCCACAGTTCCCTTCGCGGTCTGCACCGCGGCGATCTTCTGCCTCCGCGAGGTGGCGCCGTCGGAGACGGCGGAAGAAGAGCGGGACGAGGCGAAATACTTCGGGGTGGTGAACGCAGTCGCCGTGGCAATCGCGGTTTACCTTCTGGCGTTCGACGTGACAGGGCCCCACGGGCGCGTGTTCTCACGGATCTTCGCGGCCGTGCTGATGGTTCTGCTGGCTTCTCCTCTGGGAATCCCAATTCGGCTGAAAGTTAGAACCTGGACGACAACGGGAGGGGATTGGAAAGGGGTCCGGGACTTGGAAGCGAGCGCGGGGGCGGCGGAGCCGTTGCTGGGCGGGGGAGAAGGGGATCGGGGCGGGGAAGGGGAGGAGGAGGAGGGGAGGAGGAAGGCGCCGGTGATAGGGGAGGACCACACGATAGTGGAGGCGGTGAAAACGGTGGAGTTCTGGGTGCTGTTCGTGTCGTTTCTGTGCGGGGTGGGGACGGGGCTGGCAGTGATGAATAACATGGGGCAGATGGGGTTGGCTATGGGTTACGCAGACGTCTCCATCTTCGTGTCGCTCACCAGTATTTGGGGCTTCTTTGGCCGCATCCTCTCCGGCTCCCTTTCCGAATACTTCATCAAGTAAGTAAGAAAAGTCTCCCCCTTTTTTCCCGTCTCTTTAACGAAAATCTTACGCAATCCCCTTCTCTTTTTTTTACTCTTAAATTAATAAATATTTGCATAAATGAACACGGTGTAATTCAATGAATGTGCAGAAGAGGTGGAACCCCAAGACCAGTGTGGAACGCAGCTTCTCAGGTTCTAATGGCAGTAGGATACATCACCCTGGCGATGGCACTGCCGGGCTCACTCTACATCGGCTCCATCGTCGTCGGAATCTGCTACGGCGTCCGTCTCGCTGTCACAGTCCCCACTGCCTCCGAACTCTTCGGCCTCAAGTACTACGGCCTAGTATACAACGTTCTCATCCTCAACCTCCCCCTCGGCTCCTTCCTCTTCTCCGGTTTGCTGGCCGGATTGCTGTACGACGCCGAGGCCACCCAGACGGCCGGTGGCGGCAACACCTGTATCGGCGCACACTGCTACAGGCTGGTGTTCATAGTGATGGCTGTCGCGTGTGCTGTTGGGTTCGGACTCGACGTCCTTCTTTCCATTCGAACGAGGAGCTTGTATTCCAAGATATATGCATCCAGGAGATCCAAGAAGATGATTGCCTCTTCTTCTTCATCATTGTCTTAAAGAAAAAGAAGAAGAGGTTTTCTCCATTCTCATTCTTGCAAGTCTTGTGTTCATGGATATTTATTGAAAAAACCTTGCTGAACCCCAAGTTTCACCCGCATTTGACCCAATGCGCTCACAGAAATCCCCGAAACAAAACAGTGTTTCATATCTATGAAGACATTGAGATCAAATGTAAGGTACCACAACTTTGGGGTTCACCAAGCGCGACTCTTTTTTTCCTCTGGCGTTATAGCCAGAGCCAACATGTATTCGTTCATTAAATTGTTTCATTGAATTGATATGCAATGCAAATAAATTTTTTGAGTACCATTACCAGTGTAATATCTGCCTGTATGTGTGTGTGTGTGTGTGTGTGTATATATATATATATATTATGTGCCTTACTAGGATTCAAACATGTAACCTTGTTGGAAAGAGCCATAGTTATGTTCGAAGCCAAAGTCTTTCATAACTGTATTAGGGAGTGTAATAGAGAAGAAAATGATCATTGCAAAAAAAATCAGAATGTAAAGAACAGTAGTGAGTAATTTAGTGGTCTACAATATTACTAACAAACCAAATCATAGACCTAAACACCAAACCAAAATTGGTCTGAGCCAGTGTCCCTTAGGCTTAAGCACACCAAATTTACACACACAAAGGCAAATGTTGCCTACGGCTGCTGTTCTAAACATCAACCTGAAGGACCAACCCAAGGTTAGGCATATAATTGAATGTGAACTGCTGCACGAAACAAGCGAGTCGCGCCATTAATTAAGGCATACCACTCCCATGATGCCTTCCGAGGTACAACATAGTTTTGTTGACGAGTGGCAAGTCCGCAGCCTGCCTCTGCACTGTGAGAACTTTCAGGCTGCAAACATCATTCCCACATCAACTACATTATGTATCTTAATCTTGCTTCTAACTACAAGCCATTTAATCTATAAGTGCACTATCATAGTTTAAACTTTGGGAAGATATAGCCATGGCGACTCTGCTCTTTGTGAAAAAAAACAGAAACACTTCGTACAAAGTAAGAAACAAATTAAAAGGGCAACTTGTACACATCTATGTCAATGAATGGCTTGCTCTCTTAAGCCAAATGTGGCATTGGAGACGTTTGTTTCTATGTGAATTCTAGCAAGATTTTCACATTCAACACCAAAACACAAAGATTAAGAAAAAAGAACATGCCTTTTGGATAAGTAAATAAGATCATCACCTGGTATAAGGGGGCGGACAGAACAAGATCAAGTAATCGGCGCCGGAGCAGGTGAAGGTGCTAGTCTTGTCATCGTAGGCGTAACTGTAAGATCGGGGGCAGGCGTGCTTGAAGTAGAGGGAGTAGGCGGACGGGTGACAAGTGTCCGGCGTCGCGTAGGCTTCACTGCAGCAGTATACAGGGTCGTTGAATGCCAAGCAAGCGCTTTTGCAAGCCACACACTCACTGCCCCTCCCTTTCCCACGCGCCACCCTCAGGGCCGCCGGGCAGGCCCGATTCAAGTCCACCAAGCAACCGGTGGCGGCGCAGCCCCCGCTCTTGCCGCCCTTCGCCACAATCAGCATCGGCAGGTTGTACCCGTCCACGAGGCTGACGTCGTAGAAGTCCAGCCCCTGGTCGCCGTTGAGTGTGAACTCGGCCAAGGTGGCTGGGGGTATAGCCCCGCCTCCCGCGCAGGCTATCTTCCCAGATCCGCAGTCGCCGGTGGCACATGTGAATTTTGCGGCGGAATCCCTGGAGCAGTATGTCCGGCCCCATACCCGACCCGACCAAGAGGCGGGCACAGAAAGAGTCTTGGATTGGCCACTCTTGAGCTTGAATCCAGTCGGGTAGAGGATTGGCCGGTTAGCTCCGGTCAAAACTCCGGGCCATACTGTATGCCGGCACTTGTTCACTATCTTGAACGTCGTCGGCCGCACTCCTGCATTTTTTTTTTTTGAGAAATTGAATGACTAAAATTTCAACGAAAGTGTAATAAAGATAAAAAAAATACATAAATGAGCAGAAATAATGTAAGCATTAATCAAAGTTGCAATGATTATTACTGCCGTAAAGAAGAGAGCAAGTAGTGAGGAGGAGGAGAGGGGATAGAGAATTGACGGCGAGGAGGCGACCCATTTTGTGCAAGACTTTGACTGTGTGAGAATGAAAGAGAGAAGAAGGGGATCCGACTAGTAACTCTCTCTGCTTTTGCGGAATTCTTCCCCACTAGTTTGATCCAATTTTGATTTTTCAATGCTTATAACTAAATACGGAGTAAAATTTAAATCATATACTTCCCCCAACTTAAAGACTATTAATTAGATAGAAGAAATTGAAAAGAAATTACTTACAAAAATTAGACAAATACAATATGAGATTGGTAAAATTTTTATATTCCATCTGTGTCTCCGTATCATTATTTTGAGTCTTTGCATAAATTATTACTTTGATTTTTAAATATGTAAAGTTAAGTTCATTTCTTGTGGTGTTGACATGCGGCATGCTACATATGTATCCATTAATGAAGTGGATGCATTTCATCACTCAATTTAGATTTTATTATAGATCTTTTAAGATATTTGTATAAAACTTTTTTGTTCTCTAACAGTTCTATAAATATACATTTCACCATTGTAAAATATATTATATTTTTTAATTTTATATACATACATACATACATACATATATATATATAAGATTATTTTTATATTATCCACTACTTATTTTAGTTTATTACTTCTCAAAAAATAATTATAAAAATTTAATCACATATGCATATTTATTAATTAAATATTTTGTTTCAAAACTTTTATCTTATTACATTAATTATTTTATTACTACATATATTTTTCAACAAAGTAAATAGAATAAAGCTGATTTAAATGAAGAAAGACAAGTGACATTATGCCACATATACATTCTTTAATGATATATCATTATTTAATTAATTCATTTTTTATCAAATTTATTTGATTAAGTATTTAAAATACTTTTTTATCTATTTGATATATACTCTACATAATTTTTATTTAATTATATGTCAAATATTGGCTTTTCAGGGAACAATAGTATTGAGGTTAACATTAATATTTAAAAAAACTATCAACAAGTTAAAAGTTTTCAAAATTTTATTAAAATATTAATGCTAATCAAAAATACGATTTTCAACTAAGTCTATTAAAACTAGTGAAATTTGCACTAAATAGGACTAAAACATAATGACTTTTTTAATATATATAGGACTTAAATTTTTTTATTCCCTAAATAGGACTTAATAATGACTTAGTAGAAGGAATAATGTACAGTACTGATGGAGATTTAGTTGAATAATGAGTACTTGATAATGACCAAAGGTCCTATATTGGGAAATAAAAACATATGATCCTATATTGGGAAAGTCATTATATTTTAGTCTTATTTAGATAAATTTCTCCAAAAACTAATTAGGAGAGAGGATGCAACATGCCGGGAGTAATAAATAAAGCAATCACGCTCGTTTTGGCTACAATCATGCGGTCTACTTTAATTTAGTTTTCTCGTTCGAGTAATAATTGCTTCGCAGGCGGCCAGGCCTTTTTCTTTTTTGGCCAAAACATTTTTGAATGTATGTACCTAGTAAGGGATCTGCTAGGGGTACATCAAAGGTGTACTCCAAATATACACCACTTGCCTTTACACCATTCATTTTATTTTTTTTTATTTTTTACTTTTTTTTAAAATCCTTTTACCTTTTTTGTGTGGTGATGTAGGAGGAGGTGAGGGATGTTTGGGGTACACTTTTGGTGTACCCCTAACATTTTCCACCTAGTAATTCTATGCATTGATATAAAAATTAAAGAATGAATAACATATATATGGTGAGAAAAGTAATACTACTATCGTTCATGAATATTTGTCCAATTTTTTACTTTTTTCAATCAATCGTTTTCAAACTATGACTTATAATTAAGTAAAAAATAAATATTACATATTGATTAGATAAAATAATATTTTGAAATTATTTGATAAAGCAAATCTAATGACTTAACGTTATTAAATAACGTGTTACCAATCTCACTTGTCATACTAGGACTGGACTATTTTTTTTATTTGTCAAAATATGTCATGTGTTTTGACATTCCATTTTCCTATTTGTCATTGGGCATGCGCATGAGATATTAAAGGGAGACAAAAAAATTGGGGAATGACACGCGGGTCGTCCCTTGGTGGCAAAGCACTAAAAAAGAGGAAGAAAGGCTTGCAGAGGACGCAAGCTAAGGTTGATGATCAATGAGTGCACAGTACGCCGTAATATAGGATTATGTCGCATGGCATAGAGAGAGAGAGAGAGAAGCTAGCTAGTTATTCGCTGTGTATATATGTATGTATACATAAATAAAACAAAGGTCGTTAATATAATCTTGACTCTTAGCTTGAGGGATCATCTTCGTCATATATACATGGAAGTTATAATAAACAGGGGATCATCAACAACAACAGCAGCTAGTATTGAAGATGAGAATGGGGTGGAGAGTGTAATAGCGGGAAACTATGTACAGATGATGACCAACAAGAGTAACACCACCGGGGAAGAGGAAGAGGAGGAGGAGGAGCACGGCGGTGAGCTGGGTGCGAAGATATCAAAACTAGTATGGCAAGGCGGGTCGGCATACGATGCTTGGTTCAGCTGCGCTTCGAATCAGGTGGCTCAAGTGCTGCTCACCTTGCCCTACTCCTTTTCCCAGCTGGGGATGACGTCAGGCATCGCCTTTCAGCTCTTCTACGCCCTATTGGGGACATGGACCGCCTACCTCATTACTGCACTCTATGTCGAGTTTCGCTCTAGGAAAGAACGCCAAAAACTTCATTTTCGTCATCATGTCATTCAGGTATACATTAAGAGAAATTTACTCAAATAGCACTAAACATAATGATTTTCCATAAATAACATCATATGCGTTTTTTCTCAATGTAGCACTTTTAGTCATTATTTATTAGGTATAGTCATTATTCAAGTAAATGTTCGACATTATTTCTTCTTCCGGACATTATTAAGTGTTATTTAAGGAATAAAACAGTTTAAGTGTTATTTAGAAAAATGACTTAAGTTTTAGTGCTATTTAATGCAAATATTTCATATATTATATAGCGGGTTCCATGATATTGGAATCTAATGTCATAGGATGGACCAAGACTGCTACGATGTCCCTTTCGTAAAATTGACGATTTTTACCCCGGTAAACCCCCACCCCACTCTGAACCAAACACACCATCAACCTCATTCAATTGCACCCCCAAATTTATTTGATTTTGGATTCAAAATTTTGACTTTAAAATCAAATAAACTTGGGAAATGTAATTGAAGGAGGCAGAGGGGTGTTCGGGTCTGGGCGGGGTGAGGCGACGCTCAATCATCCCATGACATGAGATTTTAATGTTAGTAAAACTTCATTTGTTGAATTTGATTGAAAGTGCATGGTATAAACATAAATTAAAAACGGAGTATATGCATATGCATCGCATGGTATAGTGGTTTGAAGTATTGGATGGGCTGCTGGGAAAGCATTGGAGAAACGTGGGGTTGGCCTTTAACTGCACTTTTCTTCTCTTTGGATCTGTTATTCAGCTCATCGCCTGTGCTAGGTACGTACTACATACTCCGTACCAGTTTCCCTCTTTCATTATATTTTTGAGTCCATTCCCATTTTCTTTTTTAAAAAATAAATTTAATAATAATGGGTAAAATGGAACATAATTTGAAATTGGATGGCATTCATGGATGTGGATGTGCAGCAACATATATTACATAAACGACAAGGTAGAGAAGAGGAGTTGGACGTACATATTTGGAGCATGCTGTGCCACCACAGTGTTCATCCCTTCCTTCCGCAACTATCGCATTTGGTCTTTTCTTGGCCTCTTGATGACCACTTACACTGCTTGGTACCTCACCATCGCTTCCCTCCTACATGGCCCCGTAAGTGTCCATGCATATTAACATTAGACACCATGAAAAGTCAAATGAGAAAAAAACATACATTACATACAAACTTAAACGTTGATATATATATATGTGTGTGTTTTAACAGGTGGAAGGAGTGAAGCACTCAGGGCCAACCAAAGTGGTTCTATACTTCACAGGAGCAACCAACATTCTTTACACCTTTGGAGGACATGCCGTCACCGTGTAAGCTATAAGCTAAGCCCGGCCTAGACACCACACACACATGTTAAGTTTCCTTTCCCATCGGTATGTTTGTAACTGACAGGGAGATAATGGACGCAATGTGGAAGCCGCAGAAGTTCAAAGCAATCTACGGGTGGGCGACGTTGTACGTCTTGACACTGACACTGCCATCTGCAGCCGCAGTCTATTGGGCATTCGGAGACTTGCTTCTGGACCACTCCAACGCCTTCTCCCTCCTCCCCAGAACCCCCTTCCGTGACATCGCCGTCGTCCTCATGCTCATCCACCAGTTCATCACCTTCGGATTCGCGTCAACCCCTCTCTACATCGTTTGGGAGAAGGCTGTCGGCATCCACGACTCCCATTGCAGCCTCTGGAAGAGGGCGCTCTCTAGATTGCCGGTGGTCGTCCCCATCTGGTTTCTTGCCCTCGTCTTCCCTTTCTTTGGCCCCATCAACTCAACCATCGGGTCCCTTCTTGTTAGCTTCACCGTCTACATCATCCCCTCTCTGGCCCACATGTTCACCTTCAGATCACCTTTGGCCCGCGAGGTAATGTTTTAATACATATATAACCATATACTAGACCTTTGTTAGAACACGTCCCGACTTTGACACCATAATGTTTCACCGACATGTACGTGTCCTTGAAACAAATATGATGTCAAAATTAAAGTGATGTCCCTCTAACTTTTTTTCTTTTTAATATTGATTACGGAGTATTTGAAATGACGCATGGTCGGGATTATGCAGAATGCGGTGGAGCAACCGCCAAAGTGGTTGATGAGATGGGCGGGGGCATATACGATAAACATCTTCGTAGTGGCATGGGTGGCGATTGTAGGGTTCGGGTTCGGCGGGTGGGCAAGCGTGCTCAACTTCATACACCAGATTGACACCTTTGGACTCTTCACCAAATGCTACCAATGCCCTCTCCCGCCGCCTCACCAGCTTCTCAACGCCACTACTTCTCTGCCGCCAACCGCCTAGGCCGCCTGGCTTCACTAATCTGAAGAAGCTATAAACGAGAGAGTTTCATTTTGTAAGGTTTTTGGGCAAGTACTTTATCACTGTAGTAGCAACCGCATTAACTTTTCATATTGTGAAGGTAATGAAATTAGTTTCATACTCTACCATCAATTAGCATCAAACAGACTTTTTTTTGAAAATTTTATTTATCTAAAAAGTGGTAGGCCATTACTAGAAATTTAATTTTTTACTCATAAAGTTAGATTCACATGTACTTCTTGACAATTTGTTTATTTGTATTAGTAAAGTTTGAAATCCTGATCATTCTAATGAGTAAAGTTTGGAATATTCTCGAATACCAAACATTTCTAATACTCCCTAATGTTTTAATGCAACATAATACCTTTCCCTTTTTTAAAACATTTTAATTTTCACTTTTTATTCGATTTATACAATATTTTAATTTTGTCTAAATGGACACAATTACTCTTATTTTTCTCAAATTTAACTAAACTTATTTCAACTACCTTGTACGTTCTACCTATATTGACACTTCTCGAGCCCAACTTATTTTAATTATCATCGTTTTTCATTGATCAACCTTCTATATCTTCTTCTCCAAAAGTTAAAATTGAAAAGGTTTTTTTAGGACATAGAAAGTATGACTTATTTAGTGGAATATGACAATAAGAGGCTCAAAGCAATGTAAGAAAGGAGCACATTTCACATATTACATGTACAAAGGCATAGGATACAAGAACAACATTATTCTTGATTGTTTTATTGTTATTAACACGTACGTACAAAAGCAATAACAAATTAATTAACCAATAATAATCCAAATCCCAAAAGAAATCAAGAGACGACATTGCCTTGGATCCTGGCGCTGGTGAGGCCAACGCAGGCGTCCACAAAGTCATCGTCGATGAAATCAGTCGACAGTATCTGCAGCTTATCGGCGTGTCCCTCCGACACGCACCGTTTGATGAACAGCCTCCCGTACGGCCGGATCCTCTTCGTCACCGGTTTCACACACAGCACCGGGTTGTCCGCCTGAGGCGTCACCGTGTTCTCCACCCTGTAGAAGTATTTCCGGGACCCCACCGCCGGCTGCTCGCTCAGATGCTTCATATTGCTCTCGAATTTCTTCTCCGGCAAGTCCGTGTCGATCCAGTTGTCCTTCAGGTAGCCGGAGCTCCACAGCGCTCCTCCCGGCGGCCCTGCTTTGTGACCACTTTTCTTCCTGGGCTTCCAAACGCAGATCACCCTCTTCGGGAGTACCTCCGCGATCGTCTTCCCGAAGAGGCGGTCGTCCTGTGGGATCAGGTGTTCCCCCAGCTGCTCCTCCAGGTACTTGTCGAAATCGGGCGGGTCTTCGTGCCCGAACTCCGTCCGGATCTCCAGGATTATGATCTCGGATTGGGTCTCGGACAGGAACTTCTTGACGTCGCGGATGACTACGTCGACGCCGTAGGTGGTGAGGATGCCGTGGCACACTCTCCGGTCCTCCTGGACCCGGATGTCGAGAACCCTCGCGCCGGTTGCCAGCTGGCGGTAGATTGAGAGGGATTGGCATTGGGCGAAGGGGCGAGAAATCAGGGGAATTCCGATCTTGTTTGTGGCGGAATCGTGTGTGCCGGGCCATAGGATCTGGTTGACCCGGAGCTTGGAGGGGTCGAGGCCGGCCATCCAGTTCTTGCGATCGGGCGGACGGTAATCGGAACCGGGGAAATCATTCCCGTCCTTGAGCTGGAGATCTTTCAAGTATTTCTTCTGGGCGTGAATAGATTTACGCCGTTCGACTTGTTTGGAGCATTGACCACCCATCCCCACGCCGTCGCCGCCGCCGGCCTCTATTATTACTCACCACTACTACGACTAATTCTTCTTCTTGTTTCTCGGCCTCCCCTGTTCGGGTTTTAGTGTAGGATTGCTGTTGCTTCCTTATCAGACGTACTATCCTTTATTTTTACGTATTTAAATCAGCGGATTATTATTATTATTATTATTTTGAATGATGAAAGTTGTCTTTACACTCTTTAGTCCTTTAATTAAATACGGAGTAATTAATTAACATCATTCACAAACGTAATTGGCACACATATGCGTTTGTTGTTTAGGTTGGCGTGGGACCACCCGCGGGTGATTGGTACCAAGTCAGCATCAACAATACCTATTTTATCCCCTATCAAATTATTGTTCTAGTTTACAATGCACCTAAAGTACATGCTTGATGGGCAATTGGGCCAGTAGTTTAGGCCCAGTCCCAAGATCTCTTAATAGATGAGTCAAAGCCCTATTATCCGCATTAGTTCACACGAGGCCCGACAATACCAGGAAGCAACTCATCAGCTTTGGGCCAGCCCGCTAGTCCCGTCATTTACGTAATTGACTGTGTCGGACAGGACGGGATTGCTTTGTCACTTCCCATGTATACGTTCGAGTAATGTAGCTATATATAAAGGCATTAGCCATTGTAACCCTTAAGATGAATATAGCAAATTCAATACCAGCACCATCCTTCCTTCTCAAGTTCTGTGCTCTATATCACTACTATTCTCATTTCATTACTGAATTCGCCTCCCTCGGATCAGGTCTTTTGGTGGAGTTATTTTGCATCAATGTTCATTTTATTGACCTTAATACATTTATATTTTTAAAGAAATTGAGCTTTTTTCAAAAGAAAAAATATCCACATGAAAACCCATTGAAAATGTGAGAAAATCTAGATATTAAATGTGAATTTGGGGACCATGTAAGTATCACTCATAAAAATATGTGCTCTTCTTTCAGACAGAAACTAAGCACAAAATTGTAACGAGTAACTGCAATGGGTCAACATGTGTGTTGAGAGGCATCATGTAAAATTTCGTCTTTGAAGAGTTGGAAAATCATGTCATAACATTTCTCTTAAGTAATCTCGTAACATGTTGGGGAACAAAAATATGTCTCGATTTCTTTCCCTGTCGATTCACACAACTAAATACTTGTAGACTCACACACACACTCAATAGTACAAAGGTACGACTTCAAAAAATGTCTTTGTATTATGTAGAGAAATGCACAAGAGAGATTACAATTATACAAGTATGAAGTTCGCTCTTTGTATTGGAAACACTTCTCTACACCTCACTCACAAGCATTCTCAAGAATTCTTCTTGGTTCTCCACTGTTCTTCGATTGCTAAATGAGAGATTCACATCTCTCTTTATACTCATCACAAAGGCTAGGCTTCTCTAGAATACTCCACTCATCTCTACATCTCTAGAATCTTTCAAAAAGTTTCCACAAGCTTCTATACAGGATTCGTGTAGTAAGAATTAAACCATGGGCGAGTATATAATAGCATACTCTAGCTTAGTTAGAGATTTTATATGGATCATTTAATTTCTAATACTCCCTCCGTCCCAAAAAGATTTACACGTTTCAAAAAAATTGTGTCCCACAATCCCTTACCCATTTCTATTAAAAAACCACTTTTACCCCTTACTTTTTCAAACCCTACCTATCACATCATACCTTTTTCCTAATAATCTACACATCACATCCTACTTTTACCCATCACATCAAGGGTATTTTTTGAAAGTCAACACAAAATTATCCCTTCCTTAATTTCAACTTTAGTCGAAATGGGTAACACTTTATGGGACGGAGGGAGTATCAGATTATCGACATGCATTGCAATTTTCTTGTACTACAACTTTTTTTATAATATATTCCCTCCGTTTCACAAAACTCTTTCTCTTTCATTTTTTTTTGCTTTCTACAAAACACTTCCACTTTTTATTAAAAAACTACTTTTACCCGTACTTTTTCATACCCTACCTATCAGATCATACTTTTTCACTAATAACCAAACTATCACATCTTTCTTTTTTCCATCACATCAGGGGCAAAATTGGAAGGTCAAACAAAATTACACTTTCCTTATTTTTCCCCAAAGTCAAAATCGGAAGAGTTTTGTAGAACGGAGGGAGTAAAATTTTTTCTAGGGTATGTGGCACTACAAGTTACGGAGTATTTTTTATAATTCACGACAATTTTTGTCTGAGTGGCACTCCCAATTATGTTTTCCAACAATCCGCTATTATTATTGTTTAAATGGCTGTTATTATATTGTTAAAAGAATGAGACGAATATCTAATAAGAGTACACCCTTATATTTTCAAAATTAAAACTAATAAAAATATTGAAAAAGGAGAATTTACGACAAATAATCTTGTCTTTCATTTATTAGTGTAACACAAGTGGACAACCGGGCCATTTTGAATCTAAGTGGTTGACCACTTGCAAATGAATTCTCATTCCCTTCATGTTTTTTAAGCGCCAACACCAAAAGAACTACGAATCGCTGAGCATGGACTCGAGACGCGTAATCGTGTTAAACAGGCCACATGCTGTTGGGTACATACTACAGACGGACAACTGGGCTAAAGACTAACGGATACTTTGACAAATGAGGTGGGCCAAAACCTGCTCTGATACCATGTTGAAATTTATGATGAGGTAAGACCGTAAGAAGGGAGATTATTTTGGGAAAGATTGAAAAATATATACTCCGTATATGATTACTCCGTATTTCACATACATAATTAACCAAAATTGGAAAAAACCAGAAAGATGGACAAATCGCCTATTAGGATCGGAAGATTAAAATAATACTCCCTCCGTCCTAAAAAGAATGAGACGGTTTGACTTTTTGGGAAATTAAGGGAGAGATATTTTGGTATTGAATTTCCAAAAATACCCTTGATGTGATCGGTAAAAGTAGGATGTGATGGGTAGATTATTAGGAAAAAGGTATGATGTGATAGGTAGGGCATGAAAAAAAGTGAAATTTGCACTAAATAGGACTAAAACATAATGTCTTTCCCAATATAGGACTTAAACTTTTTTATTCCCTAAATAGGACTTAATAATGACTTAATGAGAAGAATAATGTCCATTAATGATGGACATTTACTTGAATAATGACTACATGATAATGACCAAAAGTCCTACATTGGGATTTAAAAACATATGGTTCTATATTGGGAAAGTCATTATGTTTTAGTCCTAGTTAGGTAAATTTCTCTATGAAAAAGTAAGAGGTAAAAATGGTTTTTTAATAGAAATGTAACGGAATTTACGAGACGCAATTTTTTCTAAACGTAACAAACTTTTTAGGACGGAGGGAGTATATTATAGGACCAATAGGAAAAGAGAAATAAAATATGATAATCCAACCAAGCACACATCCGGACCGTCCATTTGATTTCTAAAGAAACACAAATTGGCACGCCCTCAACTGTTGGATCATCCCATCTTAACCGCCTTTGCCTCTATAAATATAGAAATTGGCATATGCCCCAACCCTCACAATTCAAAATCAAACCTCATTCCACACCTTTAATTTCTTCTTCTTAATCTTCATATTACGTTACTCTCCGGCCAGGTCGGTGGCTCTTCTTGTTTATTCTAACAATGCATGCATATATAGTTGGTCGAGTTTATGTTTAATTTTTCAATTCGATCAAATGAATGTATTTTAACGTTGTTTGTTGTTATTCACTTCATTGTTACATATGATTAATTAGGGTTTTCATATTTATCTCATTGAACTGCAGCGGCGCGCGGCTAGGTATAGTAGGGATGGCACGCACCAAACAAACTGCACGTAAATCTCACCTCGGAAAGGCTCCGAGGAAACAACTTGCTACCATTGTACGTACGTATATGCATGCATGCATACGTACTATTCATAATAATTAATTTTAGACCAGCGCCCATTTTTAACTAACTAAATCATCATCATCTTCTTTAGTTCTTTCAGTCAAGAAATTAAACTTAACAACAAAACTAATAACGGTTCGTTGTTTTTGGGTTCTTATTCATATAATGAAAAAAAAATAGGCTGCACGGAAGACGGCGCCGCACGCGGGAGGGGTGAAGAAGCCGCACAGGTACAGGCCGGGAACGGTGGCGCTGAGGGAGATCAGGAAGTACCAGAAGAGCACAGAGCTTCTGATCAGGAAGCTCCCTTTCCAGAGGCTCGTCCGCGAAGTTGCCCAAGACTTCAAGACCGACCTCCGCTTCCAGAGCCACGCCGTCTTGGCCCTTCAGGAGGCCGCCGAGGCGTACCTTGTCGGCCTCTTTGAGGACACCAACCTCTGCGCCATCCACGCCAAGCGCGTCACCATCATGCCCAAGGACGTTCAGCTCGCCAGGCGAATCCGCGGCGAGAGGGCTTAGCTTGATGATGATGATGATGATCATGGTGGTGAATTGGTGACGATCGAATAAAGATTACTGCTTATTAATTTCATTTCTAGCATAAACAACATAAGTTTAAGGTTATGATTTTCAGTTCCTGTTACTAGCTAGGTCTTGGTGGACGAACGAATCAGATGAAATAATTCTATGAATTGAATCTGATGATGCAATTATAATTATAATAATATGGCACTCCAATATGTTTTGGTGTTCTTCTTTTCTCAACACTCTACTTCAATTCGTGAATGTGTGATAAGAATTAGCTACCACATTCCCTCTAAACATACAAGATTATACTTTCCTTCGTCTCATAAAGATGTTCTCATTTTGATTTCTCAAAAAATTAATTGAGAGATATTTTTGTATTGACTTTCCAAAAATACTTTTGGTGTGATAGATATATTACTAGTAAAAAAGTATACGATGATCATTAGGTTAAAAATTAGTATAAAAATAGTCTTTTAATAAAAATCAGAAAGATTTTGTGGGACAAGAAAAAAAGAAAAAGAAAAGAATTTTTAGAAGGGGAAGAGGTATTAATTTTCTCAACCATTGCGTCCATGCTACGTGGCCGAATACGACAACCCGAGTTTAGAAATTAGAACACGAGGGAAAGAATTTGTAAAGAGAGATTTCGTACGAAAATACTGATTGCTCCTTTAAGGCCGAGTATAAGTATTTATAGGCGAGAAGGGCTTTAATTTTGGTGCGCAAGCCCATACTTTTTATGCAAAAGCCACACACATCTAAATGACACGGTACGGTTCCGGGACGGTTCCGGTTCCGGTACCGCCACCCCATGTAACCGGAATCGTCACCGTGCCGGCCAGTACCGGTTCCGGTTCCCGGACCGGCCGGGTTCGGCCCCCCCTATTTATTTTTTTGCTTTTTTTTAAAATTTTTAAAGTATAAAATTGTAAATTTGCAATTGTTTAAGGAAAGAATGAAATAAAAAATCTAAAAAAGTAGTTGTTATTTAAATATTGAAAATGAGTAATACACTAATTGAAGAACAACCACATTTAATATCCTGACGGTTCAAAAAAAGCGACGAGGTGAAGAACCGTAAAGAAACACTCGAAGGAGCTTATATATCGCTCACCTAAAAAAATTAATTACATATTTACATTAACATAAAAAAAATTTATAACTTATTCTTCAGAACTCGGACTTCCATCTGTGGTTGCATTCATGTAATGCTCCAATTCGAGTTGGTACGATGACTCTTGAGCCCGACGTCTTGCCAAGAGCCAATCTTGGTTGCAAACCAGTGTTTCAAGAGATTCAGCGTTAAGACAACTTCGGTAGTCGGTTAGAATGTTGCCGTCAGCACTGAATTCTCGTTCAACTGCTACGGTTGATACTGGGACGGACAACACTTGTCTTGCTAGCATGCCGAGACATCGGAACATGTGTTCGTTCCGCTTCCACCATCCGAGCACGTCAAAATCGACATCGTCATCATCGTAATCGCATGGCACACCCTGGTACATAGCAAGTTCGTTGTGCGAGTTTACTGTTGTACCACTTGAACTCGTCGAAGACTGGGCACGTTTCCCTTTCTTTGCAAGAAGGCCACCGACTATGCCGGCAAAACCTTTTTTTGATTTCGGGGGCGGAGGTGGTGCTGTTTCTTCTTGTACAATACCGTATAACCCTTGATATTCCTTAAACAAATCCTCAAAAAGAGTTATAGCATTATCTCTTTCATTTTTCCATTCTACAAAATAGCTGTAGTAATAACTATTTTTATCTAAAAAACAACTGTAGTAATACTCAATTAAAATTTTAAAATTTTCAATCTTAAATCGTGGATCACAAATAATACCTATTTTATAAATATCAGGAATGTACAAATAATAAGTACACCATTTATCTCTCATAGGAGAGACATAAGGGTACAAATCTGGATCAGCCATACTTTCACGAAAACATGTTGCGATTGTAATGCACTCTTTAAAAAATGTATTTGTAATTGGTTGGTAAACATGGGAAAAAGTAAGAGTTGCGTTATTAAAAACTTCTAATATGGCATTCAATTTTTCAACAATAACAAATTCAAAAGGATTAATGATTATACGAAGTTCATCCCTAAAAAATTCAGCAAGTTCCTCTTTATATCTTAGGATCTGTGCAATCAATTTGTAAGTACTATTCCATCTAATGTTGATATCTCTGGCAAAACTTATTTCTTTTTTACCCTTAGACTTACAGAACATCTTCCAGGANTCCCCCACCTCAACGGCTAAATAGCCGTTTGAGGTGTGCCCCCCACTATTCTTTTTAGCTTTTTGCAGGGCTTGGCTTGGGATTTGAAATGAACAAAACAAAAAAAAATAAAATTTAACCGGTACCGGACCGGTACCGGTACCAAAAAATAGGTACCGGAACCGGTACTGAAATGGGCGGTACCGGTACCGATTTCCGGAACCGGTGACACGGTGACGACGACGGTGACGGTGGCGGGTACCGGCGGTACCGTTGCCGGTGACGGTACCGTACCGGTACCGTGTCCACCCCTAAGCCCTAGAATGGAAAAGGTAATATTCAAACAGTCATGCATGCACACTTTTGAATATTCTCGGTCATTTTTAAATTTATTTCTTACTATATAAGTTTATATTCATTCTCCTTTCTAGAGGAAATAAGGTGGCATTTGTTTTACAATGATTTTCATTTTACGATGAATATAAACTTTTTTCTCCATAATTAAAACTCCTTGTCACCTTTTACATGTTAAATTAATTCTACCTTATTTATACATTTTAATTAATTATTTGATAAAATAAAACAACTTTGTTGCCACTTATTTCGTAAAACTTTCAATATAATTGTTTTTTTTTGAAGTCTTCAATATAATTGTTAAATACATACAAATAATTTTTTTTAATTCTACATCAAATTTCATTTATATTGATTTAAAAATAACTTCAATCAAGCATCATAAACCATATACGAGCCTTATTAAATCAAACATCATTAATCAAATAGGAGCCTTATTTCAGAAACCAACTTAATTTCCGAGTCACAAGGTGTCAACATGATTCTCGGATCTCCTAACAAAACTAAAGCTCAAACTATTAAAATATTCTATAGCTTCTTTAATGCGGCAAAAATTATATACCCTAAAGATGAAAAAAGGGTTCACTTATTCCTGTTTTTATACATTAAAACAAAAAATTACACTTACACCCTAATCTCAAGGAATAATATAATATAATATAATATAATCAGGACTGGTGTTATATTCCTACCACATTACAACGTCATGAGTGAAACTTAAAACCATTTTTTTCCAAAATGAAAAGAAAAAGGGGACAAATGTTATATTTCTAACACATTACAACTTCACTAGATAGCACTAATTAGCCAGCCTCACATAACTAACTACCAGTAATCCTTCTAGTAAATGTCATCTTTCACAAAAAGGGTTGGACTGCATCGCCCGCATTATAGTATATATGTACAAAGAGTCATTGCATAAAGTCTTCCCCTTGCAGCAATTTGGGATATACAAAAAACACTATCTGTTTTAAGGACTTTATGTGCTCCTTCAGAAACGCATGCCCCTCCGCGGCTGCAAAATCAAGAATAGACAAATCAATGCATGGAGTAGGAAATAAGGAAAGAGGATGCGGTTTCTATATCAACGATTCAACGTGATTGAACAAAACATGGAGGATCAGTCAGTTGTACCTCTTATCAGCAAGTTGATTTCCTTGGAGAAGTCTTCCATGTGTCCCAAGACAGGTCTCATTCCACATATTTGGATTACACAAAACTCCAGGTACAACGCCATTACTGTTATCTGGACCAGCAAGACACACACACCCTGTTCCTCTGGGCTGACACGCTTCAACGTGTTGCCTTCGCACAGTTCAGCAACAATAGATATCCCCTGCTTCTGCAACACGTAATAAATAGCGTAATGTGACAACATATAAACATCACTAATTGACCTAAATAGAATAGAAAAGCATATTTCAAGCTTCACCACCTGCAAACCATGTAGGATATCAGGCATTGGTAATTCTGGAAAATGGGCAAGATCAACATAGCCTATATCTTGTGCCCTTTCAGCAGCCCCCTTAGCTTGTATGCATAAGAACTTAAGAATAAGAAATGTGATCCGGTAGACTTGAACAGCCACGGTGTCAGAAAAATGTGTCTGAGAATCAAGAGTAACAGCTCCATTTGATTGACCTTTGGCTATGATACTGGTCATCGTCCTTGAAGAAATTTCTCGGCTGAGCTCACAATCAAGAGAAGATAGAGCAAACCAACCATTTCTGCTATTGATAAATGATGGCATCTTCTTCCATTCAAACTCATCCCTAAGGGATGGGTGACACAAGAAAGAGGCACTATTTGAAGATAATTCCCCATGGTGAAGTGTTCCACGGCTAATGAAAGCCAGTAGATGGATACATCTCTCCCGTAACTCTGACTCCATTTCATTCATGACTTTAATCCATGAATTTTGGTACCTGGCTAGAACACATATCAGAGCAAGTATATTCTCTGTCTCCCTAAGAGCGTACAATGGGGTATGTGTTTTGATGGCAAGAGTTTGTTTCTTCTCAGGATCATCAGAAGAAAAATCAGGAGCACGAAGATAATTAAAAATTGTATTTGCTTTCTCCACAATCAGGTAAGCCATCACATAATCAACAACATTGACTGAACTTTCTCCCAGAGAGTGAATAATAGTTGTTGCAACTGCCAAACTAAGTCCCCATATGGACTGAGGCTTTTCATTGTCCTTAAAAGTGCCAGAAAGAACTCCCTCATTCTGAACAACTGAAAAAGGTCCACCATCAGGAAAGTCAGCTAGTAACTCCCGTAAATATGCGAAAAATCCAACACTCATTATCATCTCCGCTCCTTCTCTCACACATGCAATTGTTAATACGAACTTCAATATAATGTGTACATCTGCACAGAAATTTTTATCTACAAGTTTATGGACAACAAGTTGCACTTGGAGATGGTTCTTGATAATAGGGACCCATGTTGCAGGTGTCGAGAAACCTTTAACTACTACATCAATAGTAGTCAGACAGATGGTACAATAATCAGCAACTCCAGCATACTTGCAAAGAATGGGTAACAGTCCCAAACAGACATTCGCAGCCTCTGCTAAGGCTTTACCTGACTCATTATCAGGTTCAATAGGAGAACTGCAATTCAAAGCGTTGCAACAGGACTTGACTGAAAAAAGAATCAACATAAACAGTTCCTTTTTTGTTGTTGTAAAACTAGTAACTGATGGCCTAGAACTTAATACTTTGAGGCCATGCCCTGATGTTTTCAGTATCAGCACGGAAGTAGGTAAAGACAATCTTCCATTCATTGATCTGACAAAGTGGAAGAGCAGCTGTATTTGAGATGCAAGGATATCAAAAATATCATTACTGGCATCAGAAATCGAAGCTAGCATGTCTACGGTAGCTTGCAGATATTCACATGTACAGTTGATGCCCGACAGCATTGATTGCTCAGGAATCTTTCCACCATTTGTGGGTCCAAACTTAATTGACTGCAAGAATGGGTAAATATTATAAGAAAAACAGCTTTGATTCCTCATTTCTTTTATCTCATCCAAGAGACCAAAACATAATCATTGACTGTTTAGGCCTAGAAGTCCAGAAAAATATCAAGAAGCAGAAACTTACTTTATCATCAAACATAGAGAGCAGAATTATCAAGGGTTTTATAGCAAGAAGTTTGGATCTAGCCACCAGTGTCATGGAATTGATCTTACGCAACCAGACCAGCAAACCTTCAGCAATTGCTTTAGATGACTCCCAACCAGAAAAATTCCACATATCTATCCCCATGTCAGCCTCAAGATGGTCAATGTCAAACAAGGTGTCATTGTCTTGTGGGAAAAAACCATCACGCCCCTCACATCGATAGGTTTGCAAAAACTTAGACCCTTGCAAATACTGTGACAGTTCTTTATATGGTCTATGGCTTATTTCTCTACCATCAAGCTCGCCTTGTATATGATAGAACAGATCATTGACAATCAAATTTTGCAATTCTTCGCCTCCACTGGTTAAAAGGGATTAAAAAAGAGGTCAAGTCTTTTTTATAAACTGTATGCTGCATACAAAAATGGTGATATTTACAAAGAACTTGTGAATATAGAAGTATCTGACTAATAAAGGGCATGGATAGAAATGTGACTATATGAGTATCTGCATAAGTGTACGATTACAGCATAAGTCGCATTAATTTGACAAATAGGTGTGCAAATGTTCTTACTACCAGTTCCCCTTCATTGGAAATACAGGGAAGTATGAAGACCTAGTCATACACACCTAACACAAGTCGCGTTTCCCTATCTATGTATGCTTCCTCTAATGTCATTGATAAATAGGTCATGAGGTAATAAACAAATCTCAAAAACTAGTGACATCTTGTCACCAAATAAGTAGCACACAAAAGGCTGTAAGCAGTATCGTATGGCAACTTCTTTGCAGCAGTAAATGATGATATTTTTCCTTAAAAAGGATGATAATGTAAATTATGTACCTGTAACCGCGATCTCCATAATATGCCATCAGCTCAGAAAAGGCAGGCAACTTGCACAACTATATAAGTATACAAGTCAAAGGACAAATTATGAAGTAGAAGCAGCTTCTAAAGGACAAAATTCTATAAAGAATAGAGGTGAAAAAAAACTAGAAATTAAAAATCATGCATGTGCCTAACGCAACGATACCATAGCGGCAACAAACCCAGTAAAATCCCAAGTCAGTTGGGGTCTAGGGGGTCAAGATGTATGCCTTACGCAACCTTACCCCTATAAAAGCAGATAGGCTGCTTCCATTAGACCCTTGATGCATTTCACTTCTCAAAAACATGATAGAAAATACTCCCTCCGTCCCAAACCAAAAGGCACACTTTCCAAAATGGGTGTTCCAAGCCAAAAGGCACACTTCTTTATTTGGCATAACCAACCCATTAAAAATAATATAACACCCCTACTTTTTCAATCACTTTTCCTATTTTTTCAATCACTTTTTTCTATTTTTCAATCACTTGCACACTCTCTCCTATTTCAACCCACCCACCCTTATCTTTTTCAATCATTTTCACTCTCATATTTCAACTACATTTCACATCAGGGGCATATTTGGAAAGGTAACACCCCTTTAAGTCATTAACATTTACCAATCTTTGGGAAGTCAACAAGTGCCT